CATGGAGTGTCTTGCCAAACGACTTATCACAGGATTTTTACCACATTTGACCTGAACGATATTGCATCAAATTGCTTTTCTTTGCAGTGTTTGAGTTGTCATTGTTCTAAATGCCATGACCCTGAGTAAATGTGTTTGTCAGACATGCAGAAATGTGCCTTCTGTGCGTGAACGTGATAAGACCAGAGCAGGAGTCAACAGAGGCCGGTGCTGGGCCCTCTCTCCATACACGTTATTCTTCTTCTTCTGCACTTCCACATGGTACCACACCAGAGAACAAGCTCCTACCATGTGAGATTAGACCAGTATAAACTTAAACTAGACCAGTATAAAGACAGACTAGACCAGTATAAACTTAGACTAGACCAGTATAAAGACAGACTAGACCAGTATAAACTTAGACTAGACCAGTATAAAGACAGACTAGACTAGTGTAAAGACAGACTAGACCAGTATAAACTTAGACTAGACCCGTATAAACTTGGACTAGACCAGTATAAACTTAGACTAGACCAGTATAAAGACAGACTAGACCTCTTTCTTTGTGCCTAAGCGTAGGTTTCCTCCGGGTGCTCCGGTTTCCCCTGCCACTAAAAACATGCACAATAAGTCTGAGTGTAAATGAGAGAGTGAATGGATGGTGTTGGGTCAGAGGCTTTGATGGTCCAGTGTGTTCTGGACTCGCTTCTGTCATCACCGTGTGTGGAAGGATTGGAACAATATCTGACTCTGAACTTTGTAAAGAGTTTTGGGTCTGTACCTTGGTCTGTAAAATGTGCTATATAAATAAACATTACTTACTTACTACTGAGCACCTTTGGCAGCTGGAGTTGTTGTAAATTGTTATGTGCTATACAATTAAATCTGACATTGACAGGACATAGACTGGACTGGTATAAACTCGACTGCTTCCTCAAAGCTAAAAACCCTCTAGGAACGGAGATTTTCAAAATAACTGTGTTAATAACATACAGTCTCTAATCTAATCCTCCGGGACGACAGATTTAAAAAGGGTTGATCCATAAAAGCTTTTTTGCTCCTGTCTTCTCCTCTTGAGCCTTCTGTATTATTATTTAGGGATATATATAAAATACATTTAAATTAATTTGATTCAATGGGAACGTTTAACCAGTACCAGGTCCTTCTTTAATTAGTCCCTCTTGGTCCTGGTTCTATCCAGGCCGAGCTGGTACTAAAGTGTTTAAACTGACAGTGATTGGCCAGAGTGCTGCTGGAAGACATGGTTACCAAGGAATAGAGTAGAGTAGAGTAGAGTAGAGTAGAGTAGAGTAGAGTAGAGTAGAGTAGAGTAGAGTAGAGTAGAGTAGAGTAAAGTAGAGTAAGGTAGAGTAGGGTAGAGTAGAGTAGAGTAGAGTAAGGTAGAGTAGAGTAGTGTAGAGTAAGGTAGAGTAAGGTAGAGTAGAGTAGAGTAAGGTAGAGTAGAGTAGAGCAGAGTAGGGTAGAGTAGAGTAGAGTAGAGTAGAGTAGAGTAGAGTAGAGTAGAGTAGAGTAGAGTAGAGTAGAGTAGAGTAGAGTAGAGTAGAGTAGAGTAAAGTAGAGTAAGGTAGAGTAGGGTAGAGTAGAGTAGAGTAGAGTAAGGTAGAGTAGAGTAGTGTAGAGTAAGGTAGAGTAAGGTAGAGTAGAGTAGAGTAAGGTAGAGTAGAGTAGAGCAGAGCAGGGTAGGGTAGAGTAGAGTAGAGTAGAGTAGAGTAGAGTAGAGTAGAGTAGAGTAGAGTAGAGTAGAGTAGAGTAGAGTAAGGTAGAGTAGAGCAGAGCAGAGTCGATGGAAACGGGGCTAAAAACACCACAAAGACCATGACTTTAGGAAAGACACATTTTTATTGGTTAAAACATCCACAAATACAGTTTGCTTCTACAGTATCATGCTGTTACATTGTAACAGAGGATCACAATAAGGAGTCTTCAGTTCAGACACTTCAGATTTTACTGCATCAAATAAATTAGTAACATCAAAACTCACTGTGCCTAGTACATCTCTCCAGAATCTCAGTGCAAAGTCCATTACAGCTGGAAGATCCACGACAGAACTACAAACACAGACGTACCCAAACATTTCAAACCTAACATTACTCAGAGTTCAAATGAAAGAGAGGAATCCACGACGAAGATCGGATCAAAAGTCTGTCGAATGTTTGTGAGCTGACTAAATATTAGTCTGATGTTCAGCCAGTCCTCTAGAAATGAACAAAGTTTTAGCGATGCAGTTAGCTTCCAAACTAAATCTATAACTTTAAAGCAGAAAAACTTACATCAACAAAAAGACACAGGTGAAAAACCATAGACTGTTTATCGAGAGTGGACTGAGTGTGGCGTCGCTATCGTGTTAGCCGTAATGCAGGAGAAGCCAATTACAGCTAGCTTGAACAGGCTGTTTGAGCGGGAAAGTGTGGCCAAATTTTGTGGGTAGCAACGGCAGTGTTACCGAGCATATAAGCTAGCTGGAGCCAATTTCCTTATATGGGCATTTGTTCCAACGGGATTAGCTTTTTGGCATAGCAGTGTTGCTAGCATGGTTGCTTGAGTTTCCCTAGAAATTTAAGGCGTCTGATTGGTCATATTATGGCTCAAAATACACAAAGATAACATCAAAATATAAACAGAGAGCCCTAAACCATTGATTATTTTAGCCCAAAATGGAAAGTGTGACAGAAACGGATACTGAGCGAGAGAAGTTTCCTTTCGATAAGAGCCAGAGCTAGTGGGTTAGCATTGTCCATCTATATATACAGTCTATGGTGAAAACATGAAACAATAACACAAGATGACAGTACGTAAATTCCAAGTCTCTCAGGAAAAAACAGAATATCATTTCAGATTCATCCGAATAAATAAGCACTTTGAGATTGCTTTTGTCCGCGCTCACATTTAGGGTAGTGGCTTCAAGCAGTGAGATCAAAACTATAAACCAATAATCAGTTCTGTCTTGGACCTTGTGGGTATAAACAGTTATTGAAGTTGTATATCATGTAAACCATTCGGTAAAAAATAGTTATTATTACAATATTGCTTCATAGTAACCGATTGTCTTTGAGAATAGAAAACATTCAGAAGAAGTTGGTGATTGCGTGTATCAAAATATTAACGAACAACCTGCGTAGACATTATGGAGATGTGGTATAATCATAGACTGTATATTAGGAGTGGACTGAGCGAGAGAGGCTGTTGAAGCTAGCATGAACAGGCTAGCTTCAACAGGCTAGCTTGAACAGGCTAGCTTGAACAGGCTAGCTTGAACAGGCTAGCTTGAACAGGCTAGCTTGAACAGGCTAGCTTGAACAGGCTAGCTTCAAGAGGCTAGCTTGAAAAGGCTAGCTTCAAGAGGCTAGCTTGAAAAGGCTAGCTTCAACAGGCTAGCTTCAACAGGCTAGCTTCAAAAGGCTAGCTTCAACAGGCTAGCTTCAACAGGCTAGCTTCAAGAGGCTAGCTTGAAAAGACTAGCTTCAACAGGCTAGCTTCAACAGGCTAGCTTCAAGAGGCTAGCTTCAAGAGGCTAGCTTGAAAAGACTAGCTTCAACAGGCTAGCTTCAACAGGCTAGCTTCAACAGGCTAGCTTCAAGAGGCTAGCTTCAAGAGGCTAGCTTCAAGAGGCTAGCTTCAAGAGGCTAGCTTGAAAAAGAGCGGGAATCAGGAGTGGCCGAGCTACCAACTGTGTAGAATGACAGAAAGCTCCTGATTGGTCAGTTGTTATGGCTCATATCTGCATTTACAAATACAATATCAAAATATAAACACACGGATCATAGAAAGTGATAAACCACATATTTTTTAAGCTCAAAATGGAGAGGGTGACACAGACGTTTACAGAGCCCTTCCCTGTCGGGCTTCATTGAGCTAGCGGGATAGCATTGTCCACCTATATACAGTCTATGGGTATAATGTCTGTCTTTGATCATAGAAGCTGAAAAAAAATGAAGGAAGCACATTGGTGAAGTTCCTATGTTTTCATTTTCACATTTATGTTCAGTCCTTTACATGAGATCAACTCTATAGCGCCATCGTGGCTCAGGCGTGCTGTTCTGCTAACGTTTGTGCTTTGAATAAGGCATACTACTGTCATTTTTGGGGGTGATTAATGTCAGTAAAAAGCAATAATGAAAAATAACGCATGGTGAAGATGGTTAGTGAACGTAAAGACAAGAGCAGTAAATGCGTATTGAAAAAGACAATGTATTAATGTGGTGTACATGGACAAAACAAAATCCAGCTGCAGAAGATTTAAGTGACTAGTTTAAGAAGTGTGTAGTCCTCCTGGTTTCTTCTGTTAGTGCCACTAAAGGTAGGTCAGACTTGTACCTTTGACAGTGTTACATACAGATGTGTTTCAAGCGTACACAACCAGACAGACATTTCGATGCATGTTTTTTGGCCATATTTTGAGAACGATGATGCAATTTCTACTGGATGTATGAGCCATCTATTGTCAAGTCTCCATTCCCCAGCTCTAAGAAGCACGTGTTTCCCCTTTAACATCTGTAAAAGCTTGGTGGTAGTAAAAGTATTCTGTGGTAGTAGTCTTTGATGGTAAAACTTCCCATTCATATTGACAGAAAACCTCCACTTCCTGTAAATTCCTGGGTTGCCTTGTTTGAACTACAGTACTTGCTGGACTGTTAAGCCCACGTGTATATAAAACGCAACAGCTAAATTTGAAAAGAATTCATGAAAAGAACATTCCTCAGGTGAGTCCACGTCAAACCTTAAGATTTGAGGAGATGGGTGGAGTCTAAAATATGCTCCTGCTTGGTTGGAATGAAATCCTGCAGCCTCACCGGCTCTTTGAGAACCAGGTTGACACCCCTCAAGATTCATTTTATTTACAGTCAGACTACATTGGAATAACTGCGAGACTAACCCAGTGTGCACCACTTTACAACATCCAAAATTAGTTCCAAAATATGGCCAAAAAACTGTGAAAATCTATGCTTGTCTGTGTCAGCTTTCAAGCACAGCTGCACCACTCTGGAGCTAGCTTGCAGCTCTCACACGTCCAGATCGTCAGGCCGGGCGCGGCTCATGCGGCTGCTAGCACGGCTACAGGGCCGAGGGTCCAGCAGGGACAGAGGGTGCAGCTCCGGAGCCGGTGGATGAATAATCTTCTTGTGCTCTACGGTGTCGTCTGGGAAGTCAAAGGCCTGAGCGTGGGAGTTGGAGATGGTGCTACCTCCTCCGGTCGGTCCCAGTCGGCCCTGCTCCGTGGAGTAGTTAGCCCAGTTCTGTTCTGTCGCTTGTTTGTTGAAGTTCCGGACCGAGCCTGTTCCCCGTTCACCTGTAGCTAGCTTGTATCCCGGCGGGGACAGAGGCGCACTGGGGGAAGAGCAGCCGTTGTAGTAGGCGTACTTCGTTGTGGAGAGTTCTTTCGGCGATGTACTCATGGTTCCAGTTGGGTAATGTGTAGGCGGCTGCTTACCCTTGACGCGATCCTTGATATTTTTGAACAAAACGTAGAAAAGCTCGATAATGTTGAGCATGAGCGACACCAGAGACACCACCAGCATGAAGATGATGAAGACGGTTTTCTCTGTGGGACGAGACAAGAAACAGTCCACTCTGTGAGGACACGGGTCGCGTTCGCAGGTGTAGACTGCGGACAGGCTGAAGCCGTAGATGTACCACTGGATCACCAAGAAGCCCACCTCAAACAGAGACTTAAAGAAAATGCTCACGATGTAAGTCCTCAACAGGGCGCCTTTCATCTTGACTTTGCCATGCTCCATGATGCCGTGTTTCTGCTTTTTCAATTCGATTTGCCTCAGGGGAATGTCCACATCTCCCCCATCGTTCTGCACTATCTTCAAGAATTCCTCCTTGCGGTTGAGTTTCTGCTCTTTCCGGTGCAGATAAAAGACATGGGCCAGGTAGAGCAGCGTCGGCGTGGACACAAAGATAATCTGTAGCACCCAAAAGCGCACGTGGGAGATGGGGAAGGACTTGTCGTAGCAGACGTTCTCACAACCGGGCTGCTGCGTGTTGCACTTGAAGGCGGACTGCTCGTCGCCCCAAGCCGACTCCACCGCCGTCCCCAGAACCAAGATCCGGAAGATGAAGAGCACGGACAGCCAGACTTTGCCTCCAGCGGTGGAGTAGGCCTGCACCTTGTCGAGCAGGCGCCCGAGAGCACTCCAGTCCCCCATCCTCGCAGGGCTCTAGCTCCTGGAAGCAAAGAACAGACAGAAACAAGTGTTAGAACTTCAGAGACGGCAAGTTGATAGCTCTACAGGCGCCACTTTTCTCAGAAATGTTATGTTAAACGTTCAAAAGAGTTCTGAAACTGTATAAGAGAGACTAAGATCGGTAACAGAAGAACTGTGATTGCTGGATAATAAGGCTCTACTGTGTAAGGTTTTTTCAGCTATAGGATGGACGTGTATTGTCACTATCAGTTAGTAAATGAGTCATGGAAGCCTCAGTCCTGGATCTACAGTCTGAGTCCGTGGGAGCAGATCCAGCTCTCAATACGGGCCTCCCAAAGTAAGTAAGTAAGTTTATACAAATCAGATTAAAACCAAAAACACAGTTCACAGAGACCTATGAACAGTGAGGCGAGAAAGCCTATCTAAACAAATGGGTCGTAAGTTAGATTTCTCATTTTACTTTCACTGAGATCTGAAGGCAGTGACGATCCGGGACATTTACCAACATTTAAGGACAGACTCAAACCAACATGGACCAACCTATGTGTTTGTTTTCATCGCATTTCCTGTGTTCGGACTGTCTGATTCACTGATCTGTTGGTGAATCCACAACTCTGTAAAGTCCTCCGAGATGACTTCTGTTGCGATTTAGGGCTGTACCAAAATAAGTTGGGTTGAATTTCTATGCGATAGTTCTTGTGCTAGAGCTCAAAGAGGTTTCTAGTAATTTATCTGAAGAACTATAGACACAGACTGAGGTGGAAATGCAGGAAAACCTCATTGGTGTGATGGGAAAAAGTTGAGAAATGTTGGTTCTTGAGAAATGAATTGTTTTCTCAGGTGGCGCTTTGTCGGCGATTCAAAACACAAAATCAATGGAAGGCAGTCACTCGTTGTGTTATTTCTACATCATGTGACAAGGCTCAAAGCTCCGAACAACAGTAAACAATTATGAAATCAGAGAAAGGTGCTTAACACGCCGTCGGGCCAAGTCTAAGCCCCAGCGGCATGACGCATTTATTAATTCCAAAATACTTAATAACCAGAAAGTTCAAAGTACAATTCCACTGTTACTCTAGTAGTGGAAGATACAATAGGCAGGAAAAATGCCATAGCAAGAGAGACCAGAAAGAGAGAGAGACTAGAGATCAGGGACAAGAGAGAGACCAGAAAGAGAGAGACTAGAGATCAGGGACAAGAGAGAGAGAGACCAGAGAGAGACAAGAGAGAGACCAGAGAGAGACTAGAGGGAGACCAGAGGGAGACCAGAGAGTGCCAAGAGAGAGAGAGATCAGAAACCAGAGAGACACTAGAGAAAATAGAGATCAGGAACTAGAGGGAGATCAGGAAGAGAGAGAAAAGTGAGAGAGCGACCAAAGAGAGAGCAGAGAGAGACCAGAAACCAGAGGAAAAGGCTGCATCTCTCAGTATGGAGGGGACACCAGCGCAGCAGGCCTGAAACATCCTGATTTTGTTTGTGTAAGTTAATAATAAATAATTGGAAACCATATGTCTAATCCCCCAAACTCAGTGCATGTGCCTTTACTTAACCCGCACGAGCCTCACTACTGCTGCTGCTGCTGCTGGTGTTACTGCTGCTGCTGCTGCTGGTGTTACTGCTGCTGATGCTGCTGCTGCTGGTGTTACTGCTGCTGATGCTGCTGCTGATGCTGCTGCTGCTGCTGCTGCTGCTGCTGCTGCTGGTGTTACTGCTGCTGATGCTGCTGCTGCTCATATTCACTGGACTAATGTTGAGAGAAATTGTCCATATACTATAGTACCATATGAACCAACTGGGACTCTGAGGAGCACAGGGAATGGCCTCCTGCTGGGACTCTGAGGAGCACAGGGAATGGCCTCCTGCTGGGACTCTGAGGAGCACAGGGACTGGTCTCCTGCTGGGACTCTGAGGAGCACAGGGACTGGCCTCCTGCTGGGACTCTGAGGAGCACAGGGACTGGCCTCCTGCTGGGACTCTGAGGAGCACAGGGACTGGCCTCCTGCTGGGACTCTGAGGAGCACAGGGACTGGCCTCCAATTGGTCCCAGAATCAGAACTAAACATTGGGAGGCAGCATTTCCGTCTTCCCGAAAATGTGAGACAGGCTTCTTCTCGGAAAATGTTAAAATCCAGGTTAAAAACACTTTTTCTAATGTTTTGTGAAGTACTTTGAGTTTCCTTGTGTATGAACTGTGCCAAATACAAATAAACTCGTCTTGCCTGTTGCGTCCAGACACAACTGTAAGACCCGCCACTTTCCACATGAGCGCCTTGAGACAGAAACTATGAAGACTCCCCAAGAACAAAAGACCCAACTCCGGCATTGTTCCACTCCGGGGCCCACAAACGCACAAAAACATATTATTCTTATAGAGCACAAGAACATATTTCTAGGAACTTTCTGCGGAAAATCTGTCAAAGTTTATCACTTATTTGTTGGAGGCAAAAAACAAAACTTATCAAGATTGGAACAAAAAGAAAATGTGTTTAGTTAAAGAAATAATGGACATAAATTGAGGTGAGATGTGAGAAGGACTCGTTTGAAAAGGTGTAAAATTCCACAGAAAATCCTCAAACAAACAGGGTCACTGAGTCTGCTGGGCTCTTAAGGACTTGGAGAAAAGTCGCTGCACATTTCTTCAGTGAACTACTTTCTCTGTGCATTCATTCTACTCAGAGAAACTATTTATTGTAATTTAAAATCTACTCGAAAATCTGTATTTCTAAAAGAATTCAAGAGAGCCAATGAACTAGTGTTTAAAGGTCCAGAAATTAACTTTTACCATTACTGTTGTTACCAAATAACCACCAGCTTCTGAAACTTTTGTCATTCAAAATAAAAATAAATACAAACTTGTGATAAATCTTTTGAAAAGTCTACTTGAAAAATAAATTTTCTTTTAGAGCAAATGATCCTATAACTCGTGTTTAAGTTCCAGAAATGACCATTGTTCATCCCACAAACTTCTGAAACTTTAGTCATTAATTTTTTTTTTTTTAAAGAAGACAAAAAAATAGTGAGAAATGAAAACAGTTGAAACTTACAGAAAACGGTCCCGGAGCTCGTGACTCTCGCTCCCCGAAGTTTGGACGAACTCAGGCGTCTCCGCTGCTTGTCCCGAGTGAACGCACTTAAGAGCGAAGTCTGGCTCCCCCCAACTCTGCAGCGCGTCCTGTAGTCACCTGACGCCTGTAGTGGAGAGAGAGCGAGAGGGGGGAGAGAAGGGGGAGAGAGGGAGTCTGTGTGTGAGAGAGAGAGGGGAGAGAAGGGGAGGAGAGAGAGGCAGTCTGTGTGAGAAAGAGAGAGGAGGAGGGGGGAGAGAGATGAGAGAGAGACCAGAGAGAGTGAGTGTGTGTGAGACAGAGAAAGAGAGGGGGAGAAAGGAAGGGAGAGATGAGAGATATGGAATCTGTGAGAGAAAGAGGGGAGGAGAGAGAGATAAAGAGGGGGAGAGACCAGAGAGGGAGTATGTGTGTGTGTGAGAGAGACCAGAGAGAGAGAGAGAGAGACCAGAGAGAGGGAGTATGTGTGAGAGAGAAATGGGGGAGATAGGAGAGAGAAGGGGGGAGGAGGATAGAGAGACGAGCGAGAGAAAGAGGGGGGGGGGGGGGGGTGAGTGTGTGTGCAAGAGACAGAGAAAGAGGGGGAGAGAAGAGGAGGAGAGTAGGGAGAGTGTTTGCGTGTGCGAGAGGGGGTGAGAGATTGAGTGAGTGTAGAACTTTCATTCTCTGATCTGTGTTGGCAAATCACGAGTAAATAAATTGAATTGACTTGTATTGAGCGCGTGTGTGTGTCTCTCTCTCTGTGTGTGTCTCTCTCTGTGTGTGTGTGCGTGTCTCTCTCTGTGTGTGTCTCTCTCTGTGTGTGTGTGCGTGTCTCTCTCTGTGTGTGTCTCTCTCTGTGTGTGTGTCTCTGTGTGTCTCTCTCTGTGTGTGTCTCTCTATGTGTGTGTGTCGGTCTCTGTGTGTGTGTCTTTGTATGTGCGTGTGTCTGTGTGTGTCTGTATGTGCGTGTGTGTCCTGTGTCCACCGTCACAGAAGAACAAATGGTCTTAAATCCCTCAGTCCAGTGGATTAAAGAAATGAGAAAAAGTTTGTAGTTTTTCTTGCGTAAAGTTGCAGCGGCCCGTTAAGTTGATCCACTGGCGCCACCTGCAGTTGGAACGGAAAACTGCAAGTGTGTAATTGTGTTTGGGCTAAACCAGGGGTCTCCAACCTGTAGCTCGCCCAAGTACTTAAAAATGACAAAAATCAAATAATGTACTTAAGATTTCCGATTGTATTATTCATTATCTATAATCGAGAGAAGGACCAGAGAGAGACCAGAGAGAGAGACCAGAGAGGGACCAGAGAGATAGATAAGAGAGAGAAGGACCAGAGAGAGACCAGAGAGAGATAAGAGAGAGAAGGACCAGAGAGAGACCAGAGAGAGAGACCAGAAAGAGACCAGAGAGAGACCAGAGAGAGAGACCAGAGAGGGACCAGAGAGACCAGAGAGAGACCAGAGAGTCTATGTCATATACAGTATTCTATTATAACATTTCAAGTTGAAAAACAGAAATAATCTAACTTTTGAACAATCTTCTGAATTGACGTTCACCTCTTGTTGATTAACCCAAACTCACAGAAAGGCCCTGTCCAGAGGTGGAATCGAACCCGGAACCTTCTTGCTGTGAGGCACAAGCACCACATGCCTCAAACTTTGATAAGGTTTAAAAATCAGTTTTATATTGCCACTGTTTATGCACTTATGTGATTTTAAAGCTGTGATACAGGGCGTTCCCTCAAGATTAATAATGCTATGAATACGGAGGCATCCCAAACAGATGTCTGAGCCACCTCAACTGGCTCCTATCGACGTGGAGAAGCAGCGGCTCTACTCTGAGCTCCTCACTCTATCTCTAAGGGAGCGCCCAGCCACTCTGCAGAGGAAGCTCATGTGTTGCTTGTATCTGTGATCTCATCCTTTCAGTCATTACCCAAACCTCAGGACCAGAGGAGAGGGAACGGAGACTGTGGTACATCGAGAGCTCTGACTGTAGACGCTGCTCCCTCTTCACCATACCACTCCACTCCATCCTTGGCTCATGAACAAGAGAGACTTTAACTCCACTCGAGGAAGCACCCATTTTTAACATTTAAATAACATTTTTGACCTACTCCTCATCAGGACTCACAGAAAGGCAGTTCACATGTGGAATTAAAACATATCTTTATTCAAAGGCAGTTTAACTTACATAAAATAATACTTTTAAAAGATACACTATGTACAAAGACAGAAAAGAGAGAGAGAGAATGGAGAGGAACGGTGTCTTGCTATCGTGAATAACAAATACATTCCCAGTGATTGTCCAGGGTCAGGTTTAATCTCACGTTATGTTGGTTCATTATAGGGATAGTAGAAGCCGCTGGTAAATTCTGGTAAATTATGGTAAATGGAAGAAAAGACAAGATGCTTTTTCATTTACAGGTACTTGCTGGACTATGAAGCGCACCTGTATACAAACCGCACCAGGTGGATTTTAAAAGAAAGTCAACCTTGTCCATATATAGGCCACACTGGAATATAAGCCGCAGGTACACACAAAGTTAAAAACAAAGCAGACGTTTTATTGGTCTATTTTGACAATAAATGTGTGTCCTGTGGCTACTAAACCTGAAATGGAGTCAAAATAACAAGTCCATAAACTTTGTTCTGACTACAGCCCTAATCACATAAAAACTAGTCCCTTGTATTTCCTGGTGTCTGCGCTCTCTGCTGTTCACATAAACATAAACAGCTGATAGAGCCCAGAGAGACCTCTACCACATGGGTCTCCAACCTATAGCTAGCTTGCCACCCTCTTCAAGTTGCTCCACAAAGGATGACTTTATGGGTAAATATAAAAATGATGATAGATTTCTTCATGGGCAACAAAAAACTGCGCAACAAAAAATGCCTTAAAAATAAGCTAGAAATTGCCCAAAATTGGCTAAAATGATTAGAGACCTTTTTGACGGTCTTAAAATAAACATATGATACATTTGTTTTATCCATCCATTTTCTTCCCCTTAATCCATTTCTGGGTCGGGGGGGTGGCAGCCAGAGCTGCACCCAGTCACAGAGCACCAGCCCCTCACTGATCCTCCTGCAGGTGGTGAGTCCACAGAGCTGAGATCTTTCAGTGGGAGCTTCAGGCAAAGTGGGGTTAAGTGCCTTGCCCAAGGACACAACGACAGTAGTCATCAGTGGGAGTCGTGAAGTAGGTCTTATGGTGGGCTTGAACCCACGACCTTCAGGCCCAAAGGCCAATGCTCTACCAACTGAGCTACTGTCACCCCTACACTAACATATGATACATTTGTTTTATCTGTTCTGGAAATGGTTGTTCCATCGACTGAATGTATTTATTTTGGGGTTCCTACAAACTTTATAAATTATGACTATGAAGAATGTCAAAATATTTTCAAATAAAGATAAAAATGAGTCCATTGGAGACATTATGTCAACTGTCTCAAATTATGGTTGGAGACCCTTGCTCTAGCACAATAATAACACATACATAAGCCGCGCCGCTATATAAGCCGCGTCGCTATATAAGCCGCGTCGCTATATAAGACGCGTCGCTATATAAGACGCGTCGCGTCGCTATATAAGACGCGTCGCTATATAAGCCGCGTCGCTATATAAGACGCATCGTTTACGGTAGCGGTTTATAGTCCGGCAATTACGGTAAATGATTCTTTGGGTTGAGAGTGCGGGAGTCAGTAGGCAGGGGAGGTAACGGCAAAGTCCAGTGGAGATTCATTTATAATTATAAAAGGCCAATACTGTATATTCTGTATCAGGAAGATGAAAAGTTAACAAAAAATGTATCACATCCAAAAGAGAAAAGAGAAGAAACTAAAACAGAACCCATGTCAGCAGATCTTGGTCCTCTCTCGGATCCAAACAACTTTCTTTTAATAAATCCCATAAAAATAAAAATCATTTCTGGAAACAAACCATGGCTGCTACGATTTAAGAAACACAACCAGCAGTAACTTTCTGGAGGAGCACGCGCACACACACACACACGCAAACGCAAACAAACACACACGCACACACACAATGCCCTCACATACTTAACTATAATCAGTCAATATTATAATTATAGCCCTTTGCTACTTGTGCAAATCCCATAATGCTTTTTGGCTTTCTGTTTGAAAGCTTGAGACGACAAACTGATAATCTACAGTGGGAGAGGGAGAGGTGGGAGAGGGAGAGGAGGGAGAGGTGGGAGAGGTGGGAGAGGTGGGAGAGGGAGAGGTGGGAGAGGTGGGAGAGGGAGAGGAGGGAGAGGTGGGAGAGGTGGGAGAGGGAGAGGAGGGAGAGGTGGGAGAGGTGGGAGAGGGAGAGGTGGGAGAGGGAGAGGTGGGAGAGGGAGAGGAGGGAGAGGGAGAGGAGGGAGAGGTGGGAGAGGTGGGAGAGGGAGAGGAGGGAGAGGTGGGAGAGGGAGAGGAGGGAGAGGTGGGAGAGGTGGGAGAGGGAGAGGAGGGAGAGGGAGAGGAGGGAGAGGTGGGAGAGGGAGAGGAGGGAGAGGTGGGAGAGGGAGAGGTGGGAGAGGGAGAGGTGGGAGAGGGAGAGGAGGGAGAGGAGGGAGAGGTGGGAGAGGGAGAGGAGGGAGAGGGAGAGGAGGGAGAGGGAGAGGGAGAGGGAGAGGAGGGAGAGGAGGGAGAGGTGGGAGAGGAGGGAGAGGAGGGAGAGGTGGGAGAGGGAGAGGGAGAGGAGGGAGAGGAGGGAGAGGTGGGAGAGGGAGAAGAGGGAGAGGTGGGAGAGGGAGAGGGAGAGGTGGGAGAGGAGGGAGAGGTGGGAGAGGGAGAGGAGGGAGAGGTGGGAGAGGGAGAGGAGGGAGAGGAGGGAGAGGTGGGAGAGGGAGAGGGAGAGGAGGGAGAGGAGGGGGAGGGAGAGGAGGGGGAGGGGGGAGAGGGAGAGGTGGGAGAGGGAGAGGTGGGAGAGGAGGGAGAGGTGGGAGAGGGAGAGGAGGGAGAGGTGGGAGAGGGAGAGGAGGGAGAGGTGGGAGAGGGAGAGGGAGAGGGAGAGGGAGAGGAGAGGGAGAGGGAGAGGGAGAGGAGAGAGGTGGGAGAGGGAGAGGGAGAGGGAGAGGAGGGAGAGGTGGGAGAGGGAGAGGAGGGAGAGATGAGAAGTCGGAGAAGGAAATCTGTGGTGAGTTTGAGACCTCAAGAAGCACAGGGACACTTCAAACCACTGGCCTCATGAGCTGACCATGCACTAAAACAATAGTAATGATCGCCGTCTGCTGGTCGTTTGAAGTACTGCGCCATTTAAAAGTCAAGGACGTGAGGAGTACAAGAGCATCGAGAAGTTGTGATTTTGTCTGATACTGAACGGTCTCTCCATGGCCTCGAACCAAAGTACATCTGTGACATGTTAGAGACTGGGACTCTGAGGAGCACAGGGACTGGCCTCCTGCTGGTCCCAGAGTCAGGACTAAACAGGCAGCATTTGAGATTTACGCAGCTAAAATCTGGAGCCAAAACAGCGGTTTTTTTATCTGTGCATAGAACAGAAGAATTGTATTTTTCTTTTTGATGTCCTGTGATTATCTAGGATTGTTTATTATTGTTGTTGCCATTAAATCAATGGCGTATAACATCACAGATTTGCACAAGTAGCGAATTCGTCATCTAACTTTTTCAGTATTCTCATTTCAGAAACACCATCAGTTTAAATTGCAGCAAATTAATTAAAAATGAATGTGTTAGTCATGACATCACAGCGCAACCGAGGATTTAAATTACTAATTAAAAAAATGGCTACGGATGGAGTGTTGGTGTACGGAAAAGCCTTCGATCCGGCTCAGACCCCAAACCCGGAGCTCAGACCCCAAACCCGGAGCTCAGACCCCAAACCCGGAGCTCAGACCCCAAACCCGGAGCTCAGACCCCAAACCCGGAGCTCAGACCCCAAACCCGGAGCTCAGACCCCAAACCCGGAGCTCAGACCCCAAACCCAGAGCTCAGACCCCAAACCCGGAGCTCAGACCCCAAACCCGAAGCTCAGACCCCAAACCCAGAGCTCAGACCCCAAACCCGGAGCTCAGACCCCAAACCCGGAGCTCAGACCCCAAACCCGGAGCTCAGACCCCAAACCCCAGACCCCAAGACCCCCAAAGCAGCAAAGGGCAGTGTTAGTGAGAGATGGCTTGGCTGGTCCATCCGGAGCTTTCTGAGTCCGACGGCTTCGAGAGGCTCTTGCTTTCCCCGTCGCCGTTCTCCGCTTCGGTCCGGAGGGTCATCTTCTCCAGGGCTAGAAACACATATTTAAAGTTACTCAAAAGAAATGTGTCAACAAAGGAAAGGTAAGACAAGGCAAGTATATTATGTATATAGCACAGATCATACACAAGGCCATTCAAAGTGAAAAACAAGACACACAGTCACACGAGGCAATAAAATCACAATCACTGCAAATTAAAAAGTAAAAAGTAGAAAGAAGATAAATACATTTAGTTTGAAGCAAGCTTGTGTGAGCGTGTGTGATCTTCTTGTTAAAATACCCTGAATTTTACTGCAAATTCAGCAAGTAAAAACTAATCTTTGCCTGATTGTGAGAGTTTTAACCAAGTAAACTGCTAGAATCAGCCTTTGCAAGGTCATCAGCTGTGTCCAAACCCTCTTCCTACACACCAGGGGGCGCTATAACATTATAAAAGTACATAGACCTTGGAAAAAGTAGTGGCTTAGTAGTAGTCCAGCCAGTACTGCTGTAGCCCCAGAGATTTATTTATTCTACTTTCTGGCAGATTCCAGCTGATCAGGCTAACATTCAATACACTGTCAACCCCAATAAACGGCACATAACATGAGCTGAAGCTTAGGAAAGTTGAAAGAATTAACAAATATTAGCATAGACGCTATAAATCATGCATTTAATTCAAAACACACATATTTCTAGCTTTATGCTGTATGTCGCCAGTCTGTCTCGAGCCCATTCAATTAGTGCTGCACTTCAAAACCCCATAAGCTTACAGAGCAGCTTTCCAAGAGATCACAATGTTCAAACAAACACGACAAAGACATCTGAGAAGCTCGGAGAGAATCAGAGAGAAGCTCAGAGAGAAGCAGAGAGAGAAGCAGAGAGAAGCAGAGAGAGAAGCAGAGAGAAGCAGAGAGAGAAGCAGAGAGAGAAGCAGAGAGAGAAGCTCAGAGAGAAGCAGAGAGAGAAGCAGAGAGAGAAGCTCGGAGAGAAGCAGAGAGAGAAGCAGAGAGAGAAGCTCAGAGAGAAGCTCAGAGAGAAGCAGAGAGAAGCAGAGAGAGAAGATCGGAGAGAAGCTCAGAGAGAAGCTCGGAGAGAAGCAGAGAGAGAAGCTCAGAGAGAAGCAGAGAGAGAAGATCGGAGAGAAGCTCAGAGAGAAGCTCGGAGAGAAGCAGAGAGAGAAGCAGAGAGAGAAACAGAAGCAGAGAGAGAAGCAGAGAGAGAAGCAGAGAGAGAAACAGAGAAGCAGAGAGAGAAGCTCAGAGAGAAGCAGAGAGAGAAGCAGAGAGAGAAGCTCAGAGAGACGCAGAGAGAGAAGCAGAGAGAGAAGCTCGGAGAGAAGCCCAGAGAGAAGCAGAGAAAGAAGCTCGGAGAGAAGCAGAGAGAGAAGCTCAGAGAGAAGCAGAGAGAGAAGCAGAGAGAGAAGCTCAGAGAGAGAAGCTCAGAGAGAGAAGCTCAGAGAGAAGCAGAGAGAGAAGCTCAGAGAGAGAAGCAGAGAGAAGCTCAGGGAGAAGCAGAGAGAGAAGCTCGGAGAGAAGCAGAGAGAGAAGCTCGGAGAGAAGCAGAGAGAGAAGCTCAGAGAGAGAAGCTCAGAGAGAGAAGCTCAGAGAGAGAAGCTCAGAGAGAAGCAGAGAGAGAAGCTCAGAGAGAAGCAGAGAGAGAAGCTCAGAGAGAGAAGCAGAGAGAAGCTCAGGGAGAAGCAGAGAGAGAAGCTCGGAGAGAAGCAGAGAGAGAAGCTCGGAGAGAAGCAGAGAGAGAAGCTCGGAGAGAAGCAGAGAGAGAAGCTCGGAGAGAAGCAGAGAGAGAAGCAGAGAGAGAAGCTCAGAGAGAAGCTCAGAGAGAAGCTCAGAGAGAGAAGCAGAGAGAGAAGCTCAGAGAGAAGCAGAGAGAGAAGCTCGGAGAGAAGCAGAGAGAGAAGCTCGGAGAGAAGCAGAGAGAGAAGCTCGGAGAGAAGCAGAGAGAGAAGCAGAGAGAGAAACAGAGAAGCTCAGAGAGAAGCTCAGAGAGAAGCAGAGAGAGAAGCAGAGAGAAGCAGAGAGAGAAGCAGAGAGAGAAGCTCAGAGAGAAGCAGAGAGAGAAGCTCAGAGAGAAGCAGAGAGAGAAGCAGAGAGAGAAGCTCAGTTTAGTTTAGTCTTTATTTGAAGGGACAGTGTACAGAGACATTAAGCTCAAAGACAGATATGTTCTGCACCAGATTATAGCTAAACAGCTAGTTTCCATCTGCAGTCCCTGGTTACATCAATAAAATGCATGGATACAGTAATGTACAATCCTAAAAAATAACTTTGCAATACAACACATTCTCTCTAATACAGACGCACACATTTAGCCTCATACCTGTTTGTTAAAACCACACTTCATTCACAGCATCACAGCAACACACCTACACAATACACATGTCACAACCACACATTCAGATGATACATTAACACATTCAGTACATTTCTCATCATACATAAATCACATACATCAGTTTCTAATCATACATAGATCATATGTATGATCTATGTATGATGTATTTCTATGTATTTCTCTCAGAGAAAGAGAGAGAGAAGCTCAGAGAGAGAAGCAGAGAGAAGCTGAAAGTGCGGCTTTGTGTCTGCACCAGTTAGTTACTAAACCACTTTGGCACCAAATATTAAACGGCTTCTTCAATTTATGATGCAGTCGGCTCATCCTGTGGTTGGATGATTACAGGCTATGATCAGGTAAGCAGCGAGATCAGAACTCCCTCTGGGCCTCTCTCCCCCTCTGGGCCTCTCTCCCCCTCTGGGCCTCTCTCCCCCTCTGGGCCTCTCTCCCCCTCTGGGCCTCTCTCCCCCTCTGGCCAATAATAATAATAATAAAAATCTGAATGGGCAGCCATCTTGGAGAGACCTGAGGCAGACATCTTGGTGTGGTTGGGTGGAGTATGTGTAGTCACCTTGCAGAGAAGCAGCACTGTTGCTTTGCTGAGCTCTGTTCCCTTCCTCCAGTTCGTCCAGGTACAGTCTGTATCGATGGCCGTTGTCGTCCTCGTACTCCACGTTCTCGTCATCGCTGTCCACCTCCGGAGCCACGTACACCACCTCGAACTCAATCTGCCCCCGCTGCAACAAGCAGTGACATGCTGTTTCAACAGGCAAATATGGACACGCAAGTATAATGCCTACAAGTGCTTTGCTCTTTATAGTAGCTGTGGCCAAATGCATGGGGCCTTCTGGCTGGAATCCACTAGGGGGCGAACTCAGGTCAGTGTCCATACATCTACATGATCAGTGAGAGGGACCAGAAAGAAGGGATCAGAGAGAGACACCTGAGAGACCAGAAACCAGAAAGAGAGACCAGAGAGAGACTAGAGAAAGAGAGAGAAGCATACCTGAGAGACCAGAGACCAGAAAGAGAGACCAGAGAGAGACCAGAGAAAGAGTGAGAAGCATACCTGAGAGACCAGACAGAGACCCAAGAGAGGGTTCAGAGAGAGAAAGACCAGACAGAGAGAGACCAGAGAGAGACCAAGAGAGACCAGAGAGAGACCAGAGAGAGAGACCAGGGAGAGACCAGTGAAAGAGACCAGTGAAAGAGACCAGTGAAAGAGACCAGAGAGAGAGAGAGAGTCCAGAGGGACCAGAAAGAGAGACCAGCAAGAGAGACCAGCGTGAGAGACCAGCGTGAGAGACCAGGGAGAGAGACCAGGGAGAGAGACCAGGGAGAGAGACCAGGGAGAGAGACCAGGGAGAGAGACCAGGGAGAGAGACCAGGGAGAGAGACCAGGGGGAGAGACCAGGGGGAGAGACCAGGGGGAGAGACTAGAGAAAGACAAGGGAGAGAGACCAGAGGGACCAGAAAGAGACCAGTGAGAGAGACCAGAGAGAGAGACAAGCGTGAGAGACCAGCGAGAGGGACCAGCGAGAGAGACCAGAGAGAGACCAGAAAGAAGGGATCAGAGAGAGAAAGACCAGAGAGGCATAACTGAGAGACCGAGACCAGAGTGAAAGACCAAGAGAGATATAGATCAGAGAGAGACCGAGACCAGAGAGAGAAAATGAATGTGTGTACAAAGTTAAGGCACCATTAAATAAAACAAACGCTGATCTTCAGACCTGTTGTGAGAGGATGGTCACCGCCTCCTTGTGTTTGGCGTCTCGCAGGTTGATACTGTTCACGGCTAAAATGGCGTCTCCCACGTGCAGGCCGCCGCAGCGGTCGGCCGGCTGGCTCTGGTGGATCTCTGAGATGAGGATGGGAACCCCGTGTTCTTTTCCGCCCTGGAAACAAACAGTGATTATAGGTTTTAAAAAGTGCTTCTGTCAATATTGGAATGAAAAGAATAACATGGGAAACTACATGATTAACAATAGGGCTGCAAGATCTCTGTGGCGTCTCTCTGTGGCTCTGTGGCGTCCCTCTCTCTCTGTGGCGTCCCTCTCTCTCTGTGGCGTCCCTCTCTCTCTGTGGCGTCCCTCTCTCTCTGTGGCGTCTCTCTCTGTGGCGTCTCTCTCTGTGGCTCTGTGGCGTCTCTCTCTGTGGCGTCTCTCTCTGTGGCGTCCCTCTCTGTGGCGTCCCTCTCTCTGTGGCTCTGTGGCGTCTCTCTGTGGCGTCTCTCTCTGTGGCGTCCCTCTCTGTGGCGTCTCTCTCTGTGGCGTCTCTCTCTGTGGCGTCCCTCTCTCTCTGTGGCGTCCCTCTCTCTCTGTGGCTCTGTGGCGTCTCTCTCTGTGGCTCTGTGGCGTCTCTCTCTGTGGCTCTGTGGCGTCTCTCTCTGTGGCGTCTCTCTCTGTGGCGTCTCTCTGTGGCGTCTCTCTCTGTGGCGTCCCTCTCTGTGGCGTCTCTCTCTGTGGCGTCCCTCTCTCTCTGTGGCGTCCCTCTCTCTCTGTGGCGTCTCTCTCTGTGGCGTCCCTCTCTCTCTGTGGCGTCCCTCTCTCTCTGTGGCGTCCCTCTCTCTCTGTGGCGTCCCTCTCTCTCTGTGGCGTCCCTCTCTCTCTGTGGCGTCCCTCTCTCTCTGTGGCGTCCCTCTCTCTCTGTGGCGTCCCTCTCTCTCTGTGGCGTCTCTCTCTGTGGCGTCTCTCTCTGTGGCGTCTCTCTGTGGTGTCTCTGTGGCGTCTCTCTGTGGTGTCTCTCTGTGGCGTCTCTCTCTGTGGCGTCTCTCTCTGTGGCTCTGTGGCGTCCCTCTCTCTCTGTGGCGTCCCTCTCTCTGTGGCGTCCCTCTCTCTGTGGCGTCCCTCTCTCTCTGTGGCGTCCCTCTCTCTGTGGCGTCCCTCTCTCTCTGTGGCGTCTCTCTCTGTGGCGTCTCTCTGTGGCGTCTCTCTGTGGCGTCTCTCTCTGTGGCGTCTCTCTCTGTGGCGTCTCTCTCTGTGGCGTCTCTCTCTGTGGCGTCCCTCTCTCTCTGTGGCGTCTCTCTCTGTGGCGTCCCTCTCTCTCTGTGGCGTCCCTCTCTCTCTGTGGCGTCTCTCTCTGTGGCGTCCCTCTCTCTCTGTGGCGTCCCTCTCTCTCTGTGGCGTCCCTCTCTCTCTGTGGCGTCCCTCTCTCTCTGTGGCGTCCCTCTCTCTCTGTGGCGTCCCTCTCTCTCTGTGGCGTCCCTCTCTCTCTGTGGCGTCCCTCTCTCTCTGTGGCGTCCCTCTCTCTCTGTGGCGTCCCTCTCTCTCTGTGGCGTCCCTCTCTCTCTGTGGCGTCCCTCTCTCTCTGTGGCGTCCCTCTCTCTCTGTGGCGTCCCTCTCTCTCTGTGGCGTCCCTCTCTCTCTGTGGCGTCCCTCTCTCTCTGTGGCGTCCCTCTCTCTCTGTGGCTCTGTGGCGTCTCTCTCTGTGGCGTCCCTCTCTCTCTGTGGCGTCCCTCTCTCTCTGTGGCGTCCCTCTCTCTCTGTGGCGTCCCTCTCTCTCTGTGGCGTCCCTCTCTCTCTGTGGCGTCTCTCTCTGTGGCGTCTCTCTCTGTGGCGTCTCTCTCTGTGGCGTCCCTCTCTCTGTGGCGTCCCTCTCTCTGTGGCGTCCCTCTCTCTCTGTGGCTCTGTGGCGTCCCTCTCTCTGTGGCGTCCCTCTCTCTCTGTGGCGTCCCTCTCTCTCTGTGGCGTCCCTCTCTCTCTGCGGCGTCTCCCTCTCTCTCTGCGGCGTCTCCCTCTCTCTCTGCGGCGTCTCCCTCTCTCTCTGCGGCGTCTCCCTCTCTCTGCGGCGTCTCCCTCTCTCTCTGCGGCGTCTCCCTCTCTCTGCGGCATCTCCCTCTCTCTGCGGCGTCTCCCTCTCTCTACGGCGTCTCCCTCTCTCTCTTTATCTCTCTCTGTGGCGTCTCCCTCTCTATCTCTCTATGTGGCATCTCCCTCTTTCTCTCTGTGGTCTCTCTCTCTCTCTCTCTCTCTCTCTCCCTCTATCTCTCTCTCTCTCTGTGGACAGTGGTCATCCCGCTCCCTAAGCCCCAAACTCCTATGTGTCTGTTATTATCTATCTTCTTGTGTTTGATTTTCTGATCTGCTGCTGGAGAATCAACACCTTTCTAAAGTCCTCTGAAACGACTGCTGTTGTGATTTAGGGCAATACACATAAAAAAACAGACTCATTTACAGTGATGGAGATGCCCAGGCCTTCGTGGTCCTCCTTCATCAGGGACACCTTTCGTATCGGACCAACCCCTTGTGTTTTCTTCAACATGTCTGGAGCCTGTTCAGGAGAGAAACCCCTCATTATTCAACTCTAATAACTTTATTGACAACAGCAGCGGGTGTTTGAGGCTCACGTGTTCGAGGGGAGAGGGCAGGGGCTTGTTGGGGTCGTTCCGGCCGCGACACGCCCGGATCACCGTCTTGTGCCGGTGCAGGTGGATCTCTGCCTCCAGCTGGTTCCACAGTTTGTCGTGGGCGGGGCCTTTCATGTCCCGACCCAGAAGCTGAATCTGCTGCACCCTGAATACAATCCATACCACACATGAGACTAAAGCGGTCCCTCTCTCCCTCCCTCCCTCCCTCCCTCTGGTCTCTCCCTCCCTCTCTCTGCACTCTTGCTCTCCCTCTCTGCACTCTCCCTCTCTCTCCGCACTCTCCCTCTCTCTCTCCGCACTCCCTCTCTCTCCGCACTCTCCCTCTCCGCAATCTCCCCCTCTCTCTCTCCGCACTCCCTCTCTCTCTGCACTCTCCCTCTCCGCAATCTCCCTCTCTCTCTCTCCGCACTCTCCGCAATCTCCGTCTCTCTCTCTCCGCACTCTCCCTCTCTCTCTCCGCACTCTCCCTCTCTCTCCGCACTCTCCCTCTCTCTCTCTCCGCACTCTCCCTCTCTCTCTCCGCACTCTCCCTCTCTCTCTCCGCACTCTCCCTCTCTCTCTCCGCACTCTCCGCAATCTCCCTCTCTCTCTCTCCGCACTCTCCCTCTCTCTCTCCGCACTCTCCGCAATCTCCCTCTCCGCACTCTCCCTCTCTCTCTCCGCACTCTCCCTCTCTCTCCGCAATCTCCCTCTCTCTCCTCTCTCAATCTCCGCACTCTCCCTCTCTCTCTCTCGGCACTCTCCCTCTCTCTCTCTCCGCACTCTCCCTCTCTCTCTCTCCGCACTCTCCCTCTCTTTCTCCGCACTCTCCCTCTCTCTCTCCGCACTCTCCGCAATCTCCCTCCGCACTCTCCCTCTCTCCGCACTCTCCCTCTCTCTCTCCGCACTCTCCCTCTCTCTCCGCACTCTCCCCTCTCTCTGCGCACTCTCCCTCTCTCTCTGCACTCTCCCTCTCTCTCTGCACTCTCCCTCTCTCTCTGCACTCTCCCTCTCTCTCCCCGCACTCCCCCTCTCTCTGCACTCCTCCCCTCTCTCTCCCTCTCCCTCCTCTCCCTCTCTCTCCCTCTCCCTCTCTGCACTCTCCCCTCTCTCTGCACTCTCCCTCTCTCTGCACTCTCTCTCCTCTCCCTCTCTGCACTCTCCCTCTCTCTCTCCGCACTCCCTCTCTCTCGCACACTCTCCCTCTCTCTCACTCTCCCTCTCTGCACTCTCCCTCTCTCACTCTCCCTCTCTGCACTCTCCCTCTCTGCACTCTCCCTCTCTCACTCTCCTCTCTCCCTCTCTGCACTCTCCCTCTCTGCACTCTCCTCCTCTCACTCTCCCTCTCTGCACTCTCCCTCTCTGCACTCTCCCTCTCTGCACTCTCCCTCTCTCACTCTCCCTCTCTGCACTCTCCCTCTCTCTCACTCTCTCCCTCTCCCTCTGCACTCTCCCTCTCTGCACTCTCCCTCTCTGCACTCTCCCTCTCTGCACTCTCCCTCTCTGCACTCTCCCTCTCTGCACTCTCCACTCCCCTCTCTGCACTCTCCCTCTCTGCACTCTCCCTCTCTGCACTCTCCCTCTCTGCACTCTCCCTCTCTGCACTCTCCCTCTCTCACTCTCTCTCTCTGCACTCTCCCTCTCTCACTCTCCCTCTCTGCACTCTCCCTCTCTGCACTCTCCCTCTCTGCACTCTCCCTCTCTCACTCTCCCTCTCTCTCACTCTCCCCTCTCTCTCACTCTCCCCTCTCTCTCTCTCCCCCTCTCTCTCACTCCCCCTCTCTCTCACTCCCCCTCTCTCTCACTCCCCCCTTCTGCACTCTCCCTCTCTCCTCTCTCTCACTCCCCCCCTCTCTGCACTCTCCCTCTCTCTCTCCCTCTCTGCACTCTCCCTCTCTGCACTCTCCCTCTCTGCACTCTCCCCTCTCTGCACTCTCCTCTCTCTCTGCACTCTCCCTCTCTGCACTCTCCCTCTCTGCACTCTCCCTCTCTGCACTCTCCCCTCTCTCTGCACTCTCCCTCTCTGCACTCTCCCTCTCTCTCTCTCTGCACTCTCCTCTCTCCCTCTCTGCTCTCTGCCCTCTCTCTCTCTCTCCTCTCTCATCTCCTCTCTCCCTCTCTCCCTCTCTGCACTCTCTCCTCTCTCCCCCCCTCTCTCACTCCCTCTCTCCTCTCCCTCTCCACTCTCCCTCTCTGCACTCTCCCTCTCTGCACTCTCCCTCTCTGCACTCTCCCTCTCTGCACTCTCCCTCTCTGCACTCTCCCTCTCTGCACTCTCCCTCTCTGCACTCTCCCTCTCTGCACTCTCCCCTCTCTGCACTCTCCCTCTCTGCACTCTCCCTCTCTGCACTCTCCCTCTCTGCACTCTCCCTCTCTGCACTCTCCCTCTCTGCACTCTCCCTCTCTGCACTCTCCCTCTCTGCACTCTCCCTCTCTGCACTCTCCCTCTCTGCACTCTCCCTCTCTGCACTCTCCCCTCTCTGCACTCTCCCTCTCTGCACTCTCCCTCTCTGCACTCTCTCCTGCACTCTGCACTCTCCCTCTCTGCACTCTCCTCTCTCCTCTCTCTGCACTCTCTCTCTCTCTCTGCACTCTCTCTCTCTCTCTCTGCACTCTCCCCTCTCTGCACTCTCCCTCTCTGCACTCTCCCTCTCTGCACTCTCCCTCTCTGCACTCTCCCTCTCTGCACTCTCCCTCTCTGCACTCTCCCTCCCTGCACTCTCTCTCCTCTCTGCACTCTCTCCCTCTCTGCACTCTCCCTCTCTGCACTCTCCCTCTCTGCACTCTCCCTCTCTGCACTCTCTCTCCCTCTCTGCACTCTCTCTCCCTCTCTGCACTCTCTCTCCCTCTCTGCACTCTCTCTCCCTCTCTGCACTCTCTCTCCCTCTCTGCACTCTCTCTCCTCTCTCTGCACTCTCTCTCCCTCTCTGCACTCTCTCTCCCTCTCTGCACTCTCTCTCTCTCTCTGCACTCTCTCTCTCTCTCTCTGCACTCTCCCTCTCTGCACTCTCCTCTCTGCACTCTCTCCCTCTCTGCACTCTCCCTCTCTGCACTCTCCCTCTCTGCACTCTCCCTCTCTGCACTCTCCCTCTCTGCACTCTCCCTCTCTGCACTCTCCCTCTCTGCACTCTCCCTCTCTGCACTCTCCCTCTCTGCACTCTCCTCTCTGCACTCTCCTCTCTGCACTCTCTCCTCCTCTCTCCTCTCTCTCTCCCTCTCTCTGCACTCTCTCTCCACTCTCCCCCTCTGCACTCTCCCTCTCTGCACTCTCTCCTCTCTGCACTCTCCCCTCTCTGCACTCTCCCTCTCTGCACTCTCCCTCTCTGCACTCTCCCTCTCTGCACTCCCTCTCTGCACTCTCCCTCTCTGCACTCTCCCTCTCTGCACTCTCCCTCTCTGCACTCTCCCTCTCTGCACTCTCCCTCTCTGCACTCTCCTCTCTGCACTCTCTCTGCACTCTCCCTCTCTGCACTCTCCCTCTCTCACTCTCCCTCTCTGCACTCTCCCTCTCTGCACTCTCCTCTCTGCACTCTCCCTCTCTGCACTCTCCCTCTCTGCACTCCCTCTCCCTCTCTGCACTCTCCCTCTCTGCACTCTCCCTCTCTGCACTCTCTCCCTCCTCTCTGCACTCTCCCTCTCTGCACCTCTCCCTCTCTGCACTCCCTCTCTGCACTCTCCCTCTCTGCACTCTCCCTCTCTGCACTCTCCCTCTCTGCACCTCTCCCTCTCTGCACTCTCCCTCTCTGCACTCTCCCTCTCTGCACTCTCCCTCTCTGCACTCTCCCTCTCTGCACTCTCCCTCTCTGCACTCTCCCTCTCTGCACTCTCCCTCTCTGCACTCTCCCTCTCTGCACTCTCCCTCCTCTGCACTCTCTCCTCTCTGCATCTCTCTCTCTGCACTCTCTCTCTGCACTCTCTCTCTCTGCACTCTCTCTCTCTGCACTCTCTCTCTCTGCACTCTCTCTCACTCTCTCTCCCTCTCTCTCTCTCTGCCCTCTCTCTCTCTGCACTCTCTCTCTCTCTCTCTCTGCACTCTCTCTCTCTCTCTGCACTCTCTCTCTCTCTCTGCACTCTCTCTCTCTGCACTCTCCCTCTCTCCCTCTCTGCACTCTCCCTCTCTGCACTCTCTCTCTCTGCACTCTCCTCTCTCTCTGCACTCTTCTCTCTCTGCACTCTCTCTCTCTGCACTCTCTCTCTCTGCACTCTCCCTCTCTCTCTCCCTCTCTCTCTCTCTGCCTCTCTCTCTGCACTCTCTCTGCACTCTCTCTGCACTCTCCCTCTCCCTCTCTCTCTCTCTCTCTGCACTCTCTCTCTCTCTCTGCACTCTCCCTCTCTCTCCCTCTCTGCACTCTCCCTCTCTGCACTCTCCCTCTCTGCACTCTCTCTCTCTGCACTCTCTCTCTCTGCACTCTCTCTCTCTGCACTCTCTCTCTCTGCACTCTCCCTCTCTCTCTCCCTCTCTCTCTCTCTGCACACTCTCTCTGCACTCTCCCTCTCTCTCTCTCTCTCTGCCTCTCTCTCTCTCTCTCTGCACTCTCTCTCTCTCTGCACTCTCCCTCTCTCCCTCTCTGCACTCTCCCTCTCTGCACTCTCCCTCTCTGCACTCTCTCTCTCTGCACTCTCTCTCTCTGCACTCTCTCTCTCTGCACTCTCTCTCTCTCTGCACTCTCCCTCTCTCTCTCTCTGCACTCTCTCTCTGCACTCTCTCTGCACTCTCTCTGCACTCTCTCTGCACTCTCTCTGCACTCTCTCTGCACTCTCTCTGCACTCTCCCTCTCTCTCTCTCTCTCTGCACTCTCCCTCTCTCTCTCTCTCTCTCTCTCTGCACTCTCCCTCTCTCTCTCTGCACTCTCCTCTCTCTCTCTGCACTCTCCCTCTCTCTCTCTCTGCACTCTCCCTCTCTCTCTCTGCACTCTCTCCTCTCTCTCTCTGCACTCTCCCTCTCTCTCTGCTCTCGCACTCTCCCTCACTCTCTGCACTCTCTCTCTCTGCACTCTCCCTCTCTCTGCACTCTCCCTCTCTGCACTCTCTCTCTCTCTGCACTCTCTCTCTCTCTGCACTCTCTCTCTCTCTGCACTCTCCCGCTCTCTGCACTCTCCCTCTCTCTCTGCACTCTCCCTCTCTCTGCACTCTCCCTCTCTCTGCACTCTCCCTCTCTCTGCACTCTCCCTCTCTCTGCACTCTCCCTCTCTCTGCACTCTCCCTCTCTCTGCACTCTCCCTCTCTCTGCACTCTCCCTCTCTCTGCACTCTCCCTCTCTCCTGCACTCTCCCTCCCTCTCTCTGCACTCTCCCTCTCTCTGCACTCTCCCTCTCTCTGCACTCTCCCTCTCTCTGCACTCTCCCTCTCTCTGCACTCTCCCTCTCTCTGCACTCTCTCTCTCTGCACTCTCTCTCTCTGCACTCTCCCTCCCTCTCTCTCTCTGCACTCTCCTCCCTCTCTCTCTCTGCACTCTCCCTCCCTCTCTCTCTCTGCACTCTCCCTCTCTCTGCACTCTCCCTCTCTCTGCACTCTCCCTCTCTCTGCACTCTCTCTCTCTGCACTCTACCTCTCTCTCTGCACTCTACCTCTCTCTCTGCACTCTACCTCTCTCTCTGCACTCTACCTCTCTCTCCGCTCTCTCTCCCCCACTCTGTGTGCTCTCCCTCTGGTCTCTCCATCAGTGTTGCATAACAAGTTGCAGAAGTAAATGTAGCCCAACTATACACTAAATAAAAACAGAAATGTAAAACTCCTTCACAGTGACCAGTAATGACAGAACCATGAGTGAGGATGACGCTGGTACCTTCCGGCCAGTTCCTTGTCCAGGTACTTGGCTGCGAGTCTGGCCCCGTAGACTTCCGCCTGGAGGACCGCGATGTGCCTCCGCAGCGCCTCGTTCTCCTTCTTGAACAGCCGCATCTCCGCGTCCAGCTTGGCCTCCATCACGCGCTCCTTCTTCCTGGACTCGGTTTGTTTCTCCTGGAAAAAAAAGTCTGTTACTTGAATGTTGTGACTGCGTGTGAAAAGTCAGCATCCGGAATGACTTATCACATCCATGGATTGTTTTTCACAGAAGGGGGTGGGCTGGACCTTAATGAAATTCTTAGTTCCACATAGCAGAGTCCAGATTTGAACACAATTTGGAATGCTCTGAAGAATTCATTATTTTTGTTTTAATAGAAGCAAATAAGACTTAATATCAAAAATAATACATTGTTTTTTTTGTATATTGTATTTCAAAATATATTCACAAGTAAAGTGAGTGAATGTAAAGAATCTTATAAATTACTTTTTATTAATAAATATGGTGAAAATAATAATAAACCTCTTTTGGGGGATTTTCTCATCATTTCATTGGTTGAATGAGAGCAGTTCTATTGTTTCAGAATACTGGGAGTCAGTTAGACCCCGGCTCATGGAGGGAAACTTAAAGGATAAAAAAACATGAAAACATGAGGGTTTATTAACACAGAAGGGGGTGGTCTGGAAAAGCTGGAACTTAAAGAGATTCTTAAGCCTGGTTCACACGAGACGATTTTAAAATTGTCTGCCGATTTTTTCTCTGTGTGAGACCCCAAACACGGAGATAAAAAATCATGGGTCTAACCACTTTTGTCGTACAGTGTGTGGTGCGCAGCCACACGGCAAAATCACACAAACCGAGGCCCTCACCAGCGTCTCTTTGAGGGCCTCTGGTTCCTCCGGGTCGCCCTGTTTGTTGTGCAGCTGTAGCTGGAGGGAGTGAAGCTGCAGGAGCTGGTCGTGCACTTCACGCTCCATCGCCTCCTTCTCAGCTTTAGAATCCGTCAGCTCCGAGCGCAGGTCCACGAGCTGCGCCTGCGGAACAGGAGAGGAACTCATGAATAAATATGTGTTTCTACTAATACACAAACAAGAAGCAACAAGAGCCACAGTCACAGAATCACAACATGTCAGAGAAGAAACCTGTCTCACATTTTCTGGAAGACTGATTTTAGCTGCATGAATCTGAAACACTGTCTCCCCATGTTTAGTCCTCACTCTGGGACCAGCAGGAGGCCAGTCCCTGTGCTCCTCAATAGTCCCAGCAGGAGGCCAGTCCCTGTGCTCCTCAGAGTCCCAGCAGGAGGTCTGTCCCTGTGCTCCTCAATAGTCCCAGCAGGAGGCCAGTCCCTGTGCTCCTCAGAGTCCCAGCAGGAGGTCTGTCCCTGTGCTCCTCAATAGTCCCAGCAGGAGGCCAGTCCCTGCGCTCCTTTGTTCATAAAGTACTAACATGTCCCAGATGTACTTTGATGAGGACCATGGAGAGACTTGTAACAAACAGAGCCTATCATCTTTTAGTAAATGCAGTTTCAAATGAAAAAACACATTACACTAAAGCTGTATTAAAGTCTGTAAACAACAGCCCGTCATCAGTGCTCAGACAGCCGCATGCAAAGCCATCCACAGCCCGTCATCAGTGCTCAGACAGCCGCATGCAAAGCCATCCACAGCCCGTCATCAGTGCTCAGACAGCCGCATGCAAAGCCATCCACAGCCCGTCATCAGTGCTCAGACAGCCGCATGCAAAGCCATCCACAGCCCGTCATCAGTGCTCAGACAGCCGCATGCAAAGCCATCCACAGCCCGTCATCAGTGCTCAGACAGCCGCATGCAAAGCCATCCACAGCCCGTCATCAGTGCTCAGACAGCCGCATGCAAAGCCATCCACAGCCCGTCATCAGTGCTCAGACAGCCGCATGCAAAGCCATCCACAGCCCGTCATCAGTGCTCAGACAGCCGCATGCAAAGCCATCCACAGCCCGTCATCAGTGCTCAGACAGCCGCATGCAAAGCCATCCACAGCCCGTCATCAGTGCTCAGACAGCCGCATGCAAAGCCATCCACAGCCCGTCATCAGTGCTCAGACAGCCGCATGCAAAGCCATCCACAGCCCGTCATCAGTGCTCAGACAGCCGCATGCAAAGCCATCCACAGCCCGTCATCAGTGCTCAGACAGCCGCATGCAAAGCCATCCACAGCCCGTCATCAGTGCTCAGACAGCCGCATGCAAAGCCATCCACAGCCCGTCATCAGTGCTCAGACAGCCGCATGCAAAGCCATCCACAGCCCGTCATCAGTGCTCAGACAGCCGCATGCAAAGCCATCCACAGCCCGTCATCAGTGCTCAGACAGCCGCATGCAAAGCCATCCACAGCCCGTCATCAGTGCTCAGACAGCCGCATGCAAAGCCATCCACAGCCCGTCATCAGTGCTCAGACAGCCGCATGCAAAGCCATCCACAGCCCGTCATCAGTGCTCAGACAGCCGCATGCAAAGCCATCCACAGCCCGTCATCAGTGCTCAGACAGCCGCATGCAAAGCCATCCACGTACCTCCAGTTTGTGGTTGAGCTGGAACACAGTCTGGGTTTTGTGGCAGAGCTGAGCGAAGCAGGAGCTCAGGGTGGTCATCTTCTGTCTGCCCTCGTACGTGATGTCCACCTGGTCCGGGTCAATCTCCCCCAGCAGCAGGTCCACGTCCACGAACGCCTTGTCGAACTCTTTCTCCAGGACCTCCAGCCAGCGGAAGATACTCAGGCCCGAGCCGTGGCCGTGGCCCACCGGGGAGGAACTAGTCGAAGAGGCGGACATGGCGCTAGTGTTTCTGCAGGAGTTCGGGCTGTGGTTCTGAAGCTGAAGTGGAGCTAAAGTGACTACAAACACATCGCACAGAGACCACAGAGGTGTAATAGTAGTGTTGTAGTCACGCAGACGCCTCGGAGAGTCCAGCTAAACCCGGAAGTCCTGAGTCTGTCAGCGGCGAAACCAGGAAGCAGCAGTGAGCGCCCTCTGTCGGCGAGGATAATCATTACACTTCTCATTACAGTTTATGGTTGATTCAAGCATAATTACTGGTTAGTTTATGTGAATAGGGACAGTACACAGGCGTACAGCTAATTTCTTAGTCTCTTATTTGATTTTATTATGTGTTATGCTTTTATTTGTGCTGGTGACTTTGTAGCATTTGGAGATTTGGTGTCAAATGTAAAGTGCATTATAAATAAAATGTATAATTATTATTATTATTTATTATTAGTACATGTTCATTATTATTATCGCAAATGTTTCAGTATTAGCTATAAAGGCTGGCCTCCTGCTGGGACTCTGAGGAGCACAGAGACTGGCCTCCTGCTGGGACTCTGAGGAGCACAGGGACTGGCCTCCTGCTGGGACTCTGAGGAGCACAGGGACTGGCCTCCTGCTGGGACTCTGAGGAGCACAGGGACTGGCCTCCTGCTGGGACTCTGAGGAGCACAGGGACTGGCCTCCTGCTGGTCCCAGAGTCAGGTCTAAACATAGGGAGGCAGCGTTTCAGATTTTTGCAGCTAAAGTCTGGAACAGTCTTTTTGAAAATGTGAGACAGACTTCTTATCTTCACTTTTCCTTTCTTGTTTAGTTCCGCACTTTGAGCAGTTTGTCTATGAACTATACAAAACAACTTGCCATGTGTATGATTTATTTTCTCTGTATGTGTCTTTTAACTGTCTTGTGTCATTAAATATCCTCTTTTTCATGATCAGTCAATAGAATGGAGGCCGGTGTTTATAGGTAATAATGGTATATGGTTATTATGAGAATGAAAAAAATAAAATAATAATAATAATCTTACCTTGGAAGTCTTGTTAAAATCTTGTGTGTGTCTAACCCCATGTACGGAAAATATCATGCACTAATTGCCTGCACGTAAACAGCCTCACGCACCCTCTGATGTGCACGTGCCGGGGTTACTCGGGAGCTTGTGTTTAATTAAATAACTGTATGATGCCTGTGTTCATGTTGTTAACAGCAGCTGAACGTGATCACTCGGAGCAGGCACTATAAGATTTCTTGTTTCGGCCTACTCCTTTTGAGCTACTTTATAACAGTGTAATGTCGTAATAATTCAAACTGTTTTTAAAAATTGCTCAAATAAATAATAATCCTCATCAATCATCATCATACTTGATCGAAGCCTGAGTGATTACGCCACATCTAGATCTTTCTAAATACACTACAAAAATAGACTAAAAATAACTCAATCTTCCAAAGGGACAAAAACATTTAGTCTTAAACATAGACTGTAAATATTAAATGACGAAAATAATTATAAAAACAAGATCATTTGATTTTGTCTCTTTTTTTTGCAGTGAAAGTGTTTTTGGCACATTTGACTGATTTATTAATTTATCTTTTATCACTTTTTGCAGTGTTGCCACAGAACACTGAGGTTTGGGGATACACAGAGGAGCACACAGGTACACACAGGGCACACAGGTACACAGAGGAGCATACAGGTACAAAGAGGAGCACACAGGTACACACAGGAGCACACAGGTACACACAGGAGCACACAGGTACACACAGGGCACACAGGTACACAGAGGAGCACACAGGTACACAGAGGAGCACACAGGTACACACAGGAGCACACAGGGCACACAGAGGAGCACACAGGGCACACAGAGGAGCACACAGGTACACAGAGGAGCACACAGGTACACACAGGGCACACAGGGACACACAGGGCACACAGAGGAGCACACATGGGTACACAGAGGAGCACACAGGTACACACAGGGCACACAGGGACACAGGTACACAGAGGAGCATACAGGGACACACAGAGACACACAGGTACACAGAGGAGCACAAAGGGACACACAGAGCACACAGGTACACACAGAGGAGCACACAGAGACACACAGTTACAGAGGAGCACACAGGTACACACAGGGACACACAGGGCACACAGGTACACAGAGGAGCATACAGGGACACACAGAGACACACAGGTACACAGAGGAGCACAAAGGGACACACAGAGCACACAGGTACACACAGAGGAGCACACAGAGACACAGAGGAGCACAAAGGGACACACAGAGCACACAGGTACACACAGAGGAGCACACAGAGACACACAGTTACAGAGGAGCACACAGAGGAGCACACAGGTACACACAGATACACAGGGACACACAGGGACAGGGTCTGGGCGTCACACTGGTCTCTGGGCCTAGTCTCTGTTGCTTAGATTCGGTGTCGCGCTGAGATTAAAGGCGGCTTCAAAGCTTCCGAGCTTCAGAGCATCCTTTCCCTGCTCTGCTGCTGCTGCATAATGAGTCCCTGATGAGTCCCTGATGAGTCCCTGATGAGAGGACACACACATCCCTGACGACGACACCGGCTCCTCGCTCTCCTGACCTTTGTCGAGTTTTAATAGTTTCCCAGATTTGTCCCTAAAGCAAAAAACATTCGTAGAATGTGAAGCCAACAAATAATGACAGTAAATGTGGTAGAGAATGACAAAGTAGGACAATACATCACATATTTTTTAATTAAAGTTATGTGATGTCATACTTTTTGGGTTTTTTCTTATTTTTTGTGTCTTAATTGTTTAATTTTTTTGTCTTTTTGGCATCTGTTTACATGTATGGGCATTGGTCATCTGCCCCAATGGCTGTTTTTTTTATCATTGCATTTCCTGTGTTTGACCGTTTGAGTCTCTGATCTGCGCTGGTGAATCGAGACAATAGTATCCGGCGTGGACATTCCTTGGTAACCATGGCTTCCAGCAGCACTATGGCCAATCTCTGGTAGTTTATTTCCGGTTTCCACCAGCCCTACCCTTCTCTACCCTTATCCCTTTATCTAACCTACTCTACCCTTATCCCTTTATCTAACCTACTCTACCCTTACCCCTTTATCTAACCTACTCTACCCTTATCCCTTTATCTAACCTACTCTACCCTAAACACTCAATATATCCTACCCTACCCCTTTAATTAACCCTACTCTACCCTTACCCCTTTATCCAACATACCCTACTGTACTCTTACCCCTTTATTCTAGTCTAACCTACTCTACTCAACCCTTAATCTAGCCTACCCTACTCTACCTTTACCCCTCTTTCTAACCTACCCTACGCTACTCTACTCTACTCTACTCTATCCTTAGCCATTTTTCTACCCTACCTTACTCTATCTACCCTTACCCCGTTATCTAGCCTACCCTACTCCACCCTTACCCCTAAGCTTACCCTACCATACCCTACCCTTCCTCACCTCTACTCTACCCCTGTCCTACCCCTTACTCTACTACTCAGTTCCCAATTGGGAGAGCTTGGATCTACAACCTGTCCTCCCACAGACATACAGTATACACAGTAGACCCAGGACTCATTTGAGAAAACTTGTCTCGGTTTGCGTACAGATATATTTTGGATACAAGATATCAAAAATCACAATCATGAAGTTGGTCAGAAATATTACAATTACACATTTAAGAACATTTATGAATATTTCTGGACAGTGGTCCTCCTGATCGCAGTGGACCAACGGCTCCTATGGGTTTGTTATCAGTGCATTTGTTGTGATTTAGGCTCGACACAGAAATGCATTGAATTGAGACGGTGGGGAAAAAATGTGCAGTGCAAATTCAATCCAACAAAAATCCAACATTAAACCTTTTTCGCACAAAGGAATCCCACGGAGACGGTTTACCAATGTAAGAAATGTCTAGCTTTATTACATTCAACGATACAGTACACTGAAATTGCACATTTTCACCAGATATAGCAGCATTCTGACTGGAAATTCAAAGAGGCACATCCATAAACAGTTAAATAAAACGGCACAAGTTCGAACTAAGTCATGGCCACGTCAGCACACTTTTAAATCACGCCTTCTCTGAACAAACTCTACACTGAGAGAAGGTCCGAAAGCACTGAAAACATCGATGGATAACTTTGAGGTTGAATCAAATCAAAACAAAAGGTCGCACGACTTAGACGGTCCGTGTACGTCGCGGCCATTCTATTTTTGATTAGGAAAGAAAATACAAAAAACGAATATTGGCCGTTTCCCGTTTTCCGTTTTCAAAATAAAATGTAGAAAACGAGAATTTAATCCGTTTTTCGATTTTGTGTTTTAAAATTAAAAAACGGATAACGAAAAACAGGTCATGATCCGTTTTTCCATTACACATTTACACAAGAAACACCAACATCGAAAAACCACGGCAAAAATTTGATTTTCCATTCTTGATCTTATTTTGAAGCTGACCCGGAATCTGTTAACCATGCCTACCACTATGCCACTAAGCGGCCGAAGTCACTCTACTTTGTGAGAAGACGTCAGCTGTTACAGTGGCTAACCATCTTCTCACATTTCGCTCTGAGAAACCCACAGTTGGACCAAACTGTCCAGTTAGCGCGTTGGCGATCTCACCACAAGCCATACCACTCATCCTTCTCTCTATAATAAAGTCGGTGAAACTATTTAAGGCCATTTGAAAACTTATTAAAGTAGAAAAAAAGACAAATTAGTTAGCCACTGTAACAGCTGACGTCTTCTCACAAAGTAGAGTGACTTCGGCCGCTTAGTGGCATAGTGGTAGGCATGGTTAACAGATTCCGGGTCAGCTTCAAAATAAGATCAAGAATGGAAAATCAATTTTTTGCCGTGGTTTTTCGATGTTGGTGTTTCTTGTGTAAATGTGTAATGGAAAAACGGATTATGACCTGTTTTTCGTTATCCGTTTTTTAATTTTAAAACACAAAATCGAAAAACGGATTAAATTCTCGTTTTCTACATTTTATTTTGAAAACGGAAAACGGGAAACGGCCAATATTCGTTTTTTGTATTTTCTTTCCTAATCAAAAATAGAATGGCCGCGACGTACACGGACCTTAGACACTCCCCAAAAACCTGGTTCTTCGAGCGGATGGAGGTCATCTTTAATAATATAGCGCCGATCTGTCCTCTCTCTCCACAGAGATGGGAGATGGGTGGTCAAACGGGGGGGAAACCGGAGCGCCTGGAGGAAACCTATGCAGACATGGGGAGAACGTGCAAATTCCACACAGAAAGTCTGGAGGTGGATGACTGCAACCATCAACTGTATATAGATGGACAAAGCTAACCCGCTAACTCAATGAAGCTCAATAGGAGAGGTGCTCATGGATGAAGTTTTCTCTGGATCCTACAAACTTTCAGTGAAACGTAGCTCAGGAGCCATTTGTGTACATTTTTTTTAGCTTTAAAAAAATCTGTGGTTTATGGCTCTCTGTGATCCTGGTGTTTATATGTGATATTGTCTTTGTAAATCCAGATTTGAGCAACATAAGGATTAACCAATCAGATGCCTTCAATCACGGGGAAAACTCCAGCTCGCCTTAGCAACCGTCTTAGCAACATATCTGCCCATTTGTGTAAGCCCTCAGTCGTACAGGGATTAGTCAAAGCAAAGGAAGGTTTCTCACCCATCATCTGTACTTCTTAGCAAGTTTTCCCGACGTTTCGTCCTCAACCTGGGGACTTCTTCAGGGAATGAATTCTCGGACCGCGCGTTGGAGATTTATAACCTATGGGTGTGGTAAGCCACACCCTAATCCTTATACTAACTCGTAAACAATCTACGGTCTGCTTGATGTAGAAGGGGAGCAGGTCTAACGACCCTGCTGAGGCTAACGACCCTAACTCCTTAGCACGTCACAGACCTATTATCTGCTGGGATGCTCAAGTGGAGTGCAGGTCTCACCCCTCCTAACTCATTAGCATGTCACTGACCTTGTCCCAAATTAGGGCGTTGTTTTTAGGATGTCGTCATAGATGCGAGGCAAAACAAATCTTAACTCTGTTTGTGTCTGGGTGTTTTGTCTTTGGGATGCACTAATTTCTGTCTTAACGTGTTGAAAGGTTTGAAATACACAGGGATTTTGTGTTGCCTAAAGATTCTTTGTAGTTTCTCTGAAACTCCCGCCACATACGGTAAGGACACCCCTCTCCTCCTACTTTCTTCTGTCTGTAGGACTGTGTCTCTGGCCTTTCTCGTCCTTTGGGCTTTAGTAAAAGACCACTTGGGGTAGCTACATCTGGAAAGTGCTCTCTGAACATGTTTGGTTTCTCTGTTCTTTCCCTCCGAGCTTGTGGGGACCTGGTGGGCTCGGTGTTGAAGCGTTCTAATGACCCCGAGTTTGTGTTGTAGTGGATGATTTGAATCAAAGGCCAGGTACTGGTCAGTGTGAGTGGACTTTCTGAAGACCTCAGTCTCTAATTGTCCGTTCTCCAGTATGATGACCTTACAATCTAGAAAGGCGAGTTCACTCTCCTTAGCATCCTCGCGAGTGAAATTTATAAAAGGGTCCACCGAGTTAATGTGTGCTGAAAATGGTTCCACTTCCTGTTTCTTTAACTTAACCCATGTATCGTCTACATATCGAAACCAATGGCTTGGCGCTGTCCCTTGGTAAGAGCCCAGGGCTTGTTCCTCCAGTTTCTCCATATACAGATTGGCCACTATAGGAGAGACTGGGGAGCCCATCGCACATCCATGAATCTGTCTAAAGAAGGTGCCTCTAAATTGGAAATACGTGGTGTTAAGACACATTTCAAGTATTTCACAGATGTGGTCAGCTGTTAGTTTCGTTCTCTCCCCTAGTGTGGCGTCTTTCTGTAGGCTTTCTCTTACAGCCTCCACCGCCTCTGTAATAGGGACCGACGTAAAAAGCGATGTCACATCAAACGAGACCATTGTCTCATCTGTGTCAAACTGGAGGTGTTTGATTTTATTTACAAATTCTTTTGTGTTTTCTATGTGATGGTGGGTGTTACCCACCAAAGGAGCCAGAATGGTTTTGAGGTGTTTAGCCAGGTTGTAGGTGATAGAGTCTATGCTACATACAATAGGCCCAAGTGGAAAGTTTTGTTTGTGTATTTTTGGGAGGCCATAAATACTGGGGATGGTGTCTCCTGGGTAAAGTACGGGTCGTTAGCCTCAGCAGGGTCGTTAGACCTGCTCCCCTTCTACATCAAGCAGACCTGAGATTGTTTACGAGTTAGTATCAGGATTAGGGTGTGGCTTACCACACCCATAGGTTATAAATCTCCAACGCGCGGTCCGAGATATCTGCCCATGTTACAGCACAAAGCTAACTCAGTCTGAACAAATGCCCATATAAGGAAATTGGCTCATTGATTCAGCTTGTGCATGGATTCAGCCCTAGCGTGACGCTCCAATCACAGAACGAGGAGCGGTGCTGTTACAAACAGGCCACGCCTCCTCTAGCCTCTGCAGCGCAGGTAAACACAGTAGCATGTTAGCATAAGTGGCTATAACTCCTCTGACTGTAACTGCAGACACAGCAAAACAGCCCAAACCACACAACAGTGAGGAAGAGAAGAGGAACTAAAGCCAAAACATGATCAAAGAAGAAACCAAGCCCTGAACAGAGCTAGCTTACATCGTATCCTCTGGAGAGACTGGTCTATGGGAGAGACCTGCGGGACCGCCTCGGACTATCTAGTCTACGCTCGGACTATCTAGTCTACGCTCGGACCACATTCGGACGTGAAACTAGCAGTAATCTTTTAGTTATATATGTTGTTAGCAGTGCGTTGCTTTTGTACCATTTCATCAGTGACTGTTGCACAGCTTACAAGAAGTTGCGCTCATGCTAATGTTAGCATACGTATCAGATCGCAAATAAAACTAGATGGCTCAGTGGGAGGAGAGCGTAGGGAAATGAGAAGCCTGTGAGCGAGTTGGGGGCGGGGCTAAACATTCAAACTGAAAAAACCTGCTGAAACGGGTATAGCTCCTTTAAGGCTAACACGAGGGTGATGTCACATTCACTCAGTCCTCTCCTAATATCCAGTCTATGGCAGCGATGTGTGATATACAAGTTGTGCGACCCTTCTTTGATTTTCACGTACACACTTCTGGTCGTCTGGTTTCTGCACTCTCCCTTTAGATTTGGATGCGCTCTTCTCTACATCACTTTCATGTATTCACATTTTGGAAATAGCTCACTGTACAATATATACAGTACATGACAAAAAACTATCAAACTATCCCTTTGTATTTCAAGTACTGCAGTAAACGAGTAGCAGAAAGGTCTTAGAACACTGGACAGACGGCCGTGTCTTTTTCTTTTGTAAATATGTTCACATACAAAAAGGTAGATTGTTAAATGCATACTTTGTACACATTTTCATAAATATTCAGTTTGAAAAAATTCTAGTCTGCAAAGCGTTGGCAACACAAACATTGGATGGTCCGTTTCAGAATAAGAAAAAGGCTAAGCAGAGATCTTGTGTGTGTGTGTGTGTGTGTGTGTGTGTGTGTGTGTGTGTGTGTGTGTGTGTGTGTGTGTGTGTGTGTGTGTGTGTGTGTGTGTGTGTGTGTGTGTGCTACTTCTACCTCAGCGCCTTTTGGTTGTCGATGTCTTCTTTATGTTTAAGGCTTAAAAAGGTTCTTAAGACAAAAGTGTAGAGAAGGTAATTCTGCTTCAAGACTTTTTATTCCAGTGCTAGTTGGCTTCATACACCTGCACAAAGTAGTTTTTCATTGATTCCCTCAAGTTTTAATTAGAGCGATCTTTCTAGGCAGCGAAACGCCTCGGTTCACTCTGACAGCAGAAGAAGTCAAAACAGAAAATCAGAGCCATGCAGCCTCTCTCCAGAGTGCAGCGTCTTCCACAGTCTGTGTCGGCTTCACGTGGAGCTCTGTGGTCTCTCTGGAGCAGGGAGTCCCACCTCCACTCACACTCGGGACTCACTTCTCCAGAGGCCACGGCGCAGCGGGGGGCGTGGCCAGTCTAAAGGAGCTTCCTGATCTGTCCGACTGACCACATCTGGTAACAACAGCTGATCAGAGACACGTCACGCCATCATCAAGGCAGAAGTCTACCGCAAAATATAATAATAATTTAAAAAAAATCTGTTTTATGCCATGAGCCCCTTCACCTGCAGGTGTGGCCACAAAGGAAACATATCAAGTATTTAAGCAGAACTACCCTTTTTACACTTTTGTCTTATCAAAAGAACCTTTTTATGCCACAGTTCAATGTTAGAAACCAGAAAGGCAGTTTTCAACGTTGTCCATTAAACCAGTTAAACCACCGAGCGGTTCTCGCCGCACACATACACCGCACTGGGCTGGATGCGGCGCTTGGTGTTTCCAGGAAGCTGAGGAAGAAACTTTACGTACTTAGGCATCAGGTCGAGGCAGGCGTCGCGGAACTTCTTGATCCTCCAGTAGTAGATGAGTGGGTTTAAGGCTGACTTGAGGTAGCACAGCCACAACAGCCACGTGCTGATCTGAAAGTACGAGTCTTTGAAGTAGAATCCGTGGCTGAACGTGGACATGAGGCTGTAGGCCGTGAAGGGCCCCCAGCACACGGTGGACACAGAGAACAGGATGAGGATGGTGGCAAAGGCACGCGTCTTGAAGCTCATGTCGATGTTGATCTGGAAAGGCTTCTGCAGACTCAGCAGCCCCAGCTTACTGGCCTGGCTCAGGCACATGCTGTCGCTGCGGCTGTGGATGCGGATGGCGTTGTGGCGGATGGTGTTCAGGATTCCCAGGAAGGTGTACAACATGACTGAGAACGGTACGAAGAAGAAGACGAGCATGAGGATGAGGACGTAGGCGTGGTAACCAGGCTCCGCGTTGAAGCCAAACACACACTGCGGCGCTCTGGGCGGGCTCTGCAGCAGCGGCGAGCCCACGGCGAGCGGGAACGAGAAGAGGAAGGACAAGCCCCAGGTCACAGCGATCAGGACCTTGGCTCGGTGAGGACTCAGCTTGTCCTGTTTCTGTACGATGATCAGGAAGCGGTCGATGCTGATGATGAGCAGCACCGCGATGCCCTCCATGAGGAAGAACCAGAAGAGCATCGCAGAGACTCGACAGAACACGTCCCCAAAGATCCAGCTGGTGGTTACCACGGTGACCAGGGCAAAGGGCATGTTGAGGATGGCCAGCATCATGTCGGCAAAGGCCAGACTGGCCAGCAGGATGTTGATGGCGGAGCGCATGGCCGAGCGCTGATACACCATCAGACACACCACCACGTTCCCCAACAGCGCCACCAGCAGGATCACCACCATCACTGCACAGAAGAACACCTGCAGAGGCAGACCCAGGCCCTGGAGGCCGGCGGGGGACTCTGTGGGGGACACGGAGGTGAAGGTCCAAACTGGGCTCGTGTTGGCCATGGAGACTCTGTCCACGGGGACATCAGAGAGGTTCAGCATCGATGTGAGTACGCAGCACCTACTGAGGTTCCTAAGGGCCTCCTCTGGGGGCCCGACAGCAGTGGAGTGAAGCATGACTGCCCCGGGTCGACAGGCATCGTCTCAGCACAGGGCAGAGTCACCACACGACTGGGACGTCTTCAGGAGAGCAGCTGCACATCCAGACCATTGACCTTCAACACAGAACATCAGAAACAGCAGAAAAGAGCCATCAGTGCACTGAGTTCCATCTGAAAATACATTTAAAACAAGAGCTTCGAGTCCATTACAGCTCAGTATGAACCTGAACCTGCAACAGAATAATCTGCTCCATTACCACAGCTTCCATCTGCCACAAAAGCATCTATAAAACCTTTATCAGCGCAGAGTAAACAGAGGCTGGAGCACAGGACGCTGAGGCTCGTGATAAAACAATGTTCACAAAAACACACTGATCCTTTCAGATCTGTGGGCGGTGATTTCAGGTAAACATCATTAGAGACAATTACAGATAATTGAGTCGAGCAGATTCCAGTGTTAAAAAGGACTTTAGGCTTTCGTCACTGGACACGAGAACTTCATCTGAACATTTAACAGAACTTTTCACTTTTATGGACGTTATCCTCCTGCTCCTCATGGGTCGATGGCTTGTTCTATGGATTGTTCTCACTACATTCCTGTGATCAACCCGTTTGATTCTCTTTGACTGCAGATTTAACAACAGGCACTTATTTTGTTTAATGCGGTCAACTTTTTCTAGAAAGAATTTTCTAGAAATAATTCACGGATCTTAGACTTAATCTAGACTTATTTGATCCACCTTCCTTTGCTCTGTCAACAAGGGGCCATTGGAATCTGTAACTCACAGGTGTCAGAAACAAGGCTCCTGAAAGGCTGAAAGACTATTAACCTGCGGAATTGATGTAAAGGTTAATATGAGCTACCATGGCCTGTTATACATCATTATAAAAGGTAACAGGAAGTCACAAAGTAGGAATTAGATTTGGCTCATGGTGCAAACAAGTTAGAAAAGTAAAAATAGATTGAAGGCACGCATACAAAATCTTCATGGAATTTCAAACGACACTAGTAGATTTTGACCTGATCTTCTACAAGATTATCGCCAAACTCAGGTGAGAGCAGGTCCTCTTTTTGTCGAAATACTGTCAAAATGTAAAACAAAAGGCAAAAAATATCCACAGGCACAAAGATGAGCTTCAAACACTATTATACTTTCATCTTGTGCTGCTAATGTGTTCTAAATCCGACCTCAGACCAACATGAGCTTGACATGCCTTATGTCACCCACAGCTGGAGCATCTGCAGTCACCCACAGCTGGAGCATCTGCAGTCACCCACAGCAGGAGCATCTGCAGTCACCCACAGCTGGAGCATCTGCAGTCACCCACAGCTGGAGCATCTGCAGTCACCCACAGCTGGAGCATCTGCAGTCACCCACAGCTGGAGCATCTGCAGTCACCCACAGCAGGAGCATCTGCAGTCACCCACAGCTGGAGCATCTGCAGTCACCCACAGCTGGAGCATCTGCAGTCACCCACAGCTGGAGCATCTGCAGTCACCCACAGCAGGAGCATCTGCAGTCACCCACAGCAGGAGCATCTGCAGTCACCCACAGCAGGAGCATCTGCAGTCACCCACAGCTGGAGCATCTGCAGTCACCCACAGCAGGAACATCTGCAGTCACCCACAGCAGGAGCATCTGCAGTCACCCACAGCTGGAGCATCTGCAGTCACCCACAGCAGGAGCATCTGCAGTCACCCACAGCTGGAGCATCTGCAGTCACCCACAGCTGGAGCATCTGCAGTCACCCACAGCTGGAGCATCTGCAGTCACCCACAGCAGGAGCATCTGCAGTCACCCACAGCTGGAGCATCTGCAGTCACCCACAGCAGGAGCATCTGCAGTCACCCACAGCTGGAGCATCTGCAGTCACCCACAGCTGGAGCATCTGCAGTCACCCACAGCAGGAGCATCTGCAGTCACCCACAGCAGGAGCATCTGCAGTCACCCACAGCTGGAGCATCTGCAGTCACCCACAGCTGGAGCATCTGCAGTCACCCACAGCAGGAGCATCTGCAGTCACCCACAGCAGGAGCATCTGCAGTCACCCACAGCAGGAGCATCTGCAGTCACCCACAGCAGGAGCATCTGCAGTCACCCACAGCTGGAGCATCTGCAGTCACCCACAGCAGGAGCATCTGCAGTCACCCACAGCAGGAGCATCTGCAGTCACCCACAGCAGGAGCATCTGCAGTCACCCACAGCTGGAGCATCTGCAGTCACCCACAGCAGGAGCGCACAGATGTGGCATTGGCACATGGCTCATATTCCAGATAGTTCTAACATCTGCTGATAATATCCATGGACCATAAACAAACACTGTGACGCCTGTGTTACTTACATGTCCGGGCCATGTTCTGCTGGCAGCTGTGTAGTTTGCTGCGTAGACCACACACAGACACACACAGACATACACACAAACACACAGGGTTCCTCCACGGATCCAAACCCGCTCCCAGACGCCTCTCCTCTGGGCGCGGACGCAGACGGTCTGTGTGGATCTTTACGCAGCACCAGTGGATCTACTTCGCAGCTGTAGCCATGGATTTTCCGATGCCGCAGAGGTGCCTCCTACACACATGCAGACCGAGGGACCGTCACATTCTCACTGCCTTTGTCCCCTGGTGAACGCCCGGAGAGAAGACCACCGCCTCCGAGGGTCTGCACAGAAGGATGGTCTTTCCAATCCCTCACGGAGAAGGTTGAACGGGATTCTGTGCTCAGAGACACGCACGGACCGAGCAGGGATCTGGGATTGAAGCTGGAGAGAACGATCCAAACTAACGAAAGGGAAATGCATTGGAATCGTACACTTCCTGTCGGCTCTTTCACAATAAAGCTCGTGTTTATATGGGTGGTCCCTCTTTTCTCAGGACAACAACCATAAACGAATCTGTTCTAAAATGTTAACTGAAATGTAATTAGAAGTTTAGTTAGTTAAATGTAAACAAAGTAAATTAATATTAATCGGCCTATAAGTCTTCAAAAGCATCTCTTGATATTTGGCCCAGTTGTGATTGACTCCAGACCGACTAGAATATAATATCCAACCTCATGATGAATACCGTTAATTTGGGGCGGGACGGTGCCTGAGTGGATAGCACTCTCGCCTCTCAGCAAGAAGGTCCTGGGTTCCCCGTGTCTGCGTAGGTTTCCTCTGGGTGCTCCGGTTTCCCCTACCACTAAAAACATGTACAATAGGTCTGGTCTGTGCCTCCTGTACTGGCCCCGCTCCCGTCTCTGTGTGGCGCGAGAGACTAATGCACAAAAATAACAATTGTAAACCGCTTTGTGACTCTGGTCTGTGAAAGGCGGTATATAAAAAAAGATTACTTACTATTTGTCAAAAGTCTAAAAGTATGTAAGAAAAGTAAAAGATTTTCAGGGGTCAACATTAGTTTGACCCCCTGGTATAGATGAACAAGCACTCCCTGTTCTGTAGCCACAGCTGCCTCAGACTAATTTTATAAAATGTGGGTGAAGCGTCTCACCTAAAGACACAGTTTGGCACTTTACAGTCGCTGAGGCTCCTGGAGTTTCCTCTGAGATAAAACTGTTGTGATTTAGGCCGATACAAAAAAAGGCATTTAATTGGATTCAATAAAATACATACAAATCAAATTGGGGACCAGGAGCACCTGGATAACTCGGATACATACATAAATAATTAGGTCAGTTTCTTTACGTTTATATTTATTAGCGTCCATAAATAATAAAGCAAGTTGCAAACATGTATCGGAGGAAGTCAGTGCTAAGAGTCCGTGATGCGTTTGCTCCGTGTGTCTTTGGGAGGAATGATCTGGAGTCTGAAGGGGCAGAAGAACCCCAGCAGAGCCCTACAGTCCCGTGGGTCCAGACTGTAGTGCTGCGCCACCTTCTCCACGGTCCAGGTCTGAGGCTGCTGCTGGTGACTGCCCAAGGCCTTCAGCGCCTCCGCCAGGGTCAGCTTCCCTTTGGGGACGTCCGTGAGCTCCGACATGCCCAGCTGCTGCATGGGGACGCTGTACTGCAGAGCTCTGCGTTCAGCCACTGCTCCATTGGGTGTGGATGGCTAGAAATGTGAGAATGAGATTAAGGTTTGAATGCGTAATGGTGTGTATGTTATATTTTTTTATTGTTTATTTGTCTTCAATGCAAAGTGAGTGTTATGCAAGTACTGGGTCTACAGCCTCAGTCTCTACAGCCTCAGTCTCTACAGCCTCAGTCCAGGGTCTGAAGCCTCAGTCCTGGATCTACAGCCTCAGTCTCTACAGCCTCAGTCCAGAGTCTACAGCCTCAGTCCAGAGTCTACAGCCTCAGTCCAGAGTCTACAGCCTCAGTCCAGAGTCTACAGCCTCAGTCCAGGGTCTACAGCCTCAGTCCAGAGTCTACAGCCTCAGTCCAGGGTCTACAGCCTCAGTCCAGAGTCTACAGCCTCAGTCCAGAGTCTACAGCCTCAGTCCAGAGTCTACAGCCTCAGTCCAGAGTCTACAGCCTCAGTCCAGGGTCTACAGCCTCAGTCCAGGGTCTACAGCCTCAGTCCAGGGTCTACAGCCTCAGTCCAGGGTCTACAGCCTCAGTCCAGGATCTACAGCCTCAGTCCAGGATCTACAGCCTCAGTCCAGGGTCTACAGCCTCAGTCCAGGATCTACAGCCTCAGTCCAGAGTCTACAGCCTCAGTCCAGGATCTACAGCCTCAGTCCAGGATCTACAGCCTCAGTCCAGGATCTACAGCCTCAGTCCAGGGTCTACAGCCTCAGTCCAGGATCTACAGCCTCAGTCCAGAGTCTACAGCCTCAGTCCAGGATCTACAGCCTCAGTCCAGGATCTACAGCCTCAGTCCAGGATCTACAGCCTCAGTCCAGGATCTACAGCCTCAGTCCAGACCATGTGTCCTGGTCTAACCTGTGGGGAATGCGTGGGGTCCGTGGACTCCACATACAAAGAACGAAGGTGGTTGAGGAGAGGCGCGTTCTTTTCGTTGATAATTTCTGAAAAAAACATGATAATAATAATAATAATAATAATAACACATCACCCCAGTCAGCGCCACAGCAGTGACCCCCAGCTCCTCTCCCTCCTCTGGGTCTGGGTCTACAGTCTATGGTCTCACCTCGGTCCGGTACCGGGTCGGGGTGGGAGGGCTCCGGGTGTCTGGGAGCAGCGAGCGGCTTGTCTCTGGAGATCTCTCGGTGGACGCGGTTTTCTAAGTTAAAGTTCCGGAACATTCGAGCCACACGAGCGCCCATCGTTGACATTGCAAATCCAAATAACACCGCACGCCGATTACGCAAAACTACAGCAGGCCAGGAGGGGCAAAAGTATCGAAGAGCAAATCGCGCTTCGTACGGTCACACTTCTATGCTGATGACATCCGCTGCAAGGGAAGATTCTGGTGACTTCACAATCGGACTGTTGCGGGGGAAGAGGGAGCAGCGGCTGCAGTCAGAGCTGTAATGGAGGACAGTTATTTTTATTTATATACTTTTATTAGAATTTTTTGTTTTGCATTTTTATTTTATTTTATTTTTTATCTTGAGGTGAGGGTCTTGCAAGTCCTGGTTCTACAGCCAGAGTTCTTGGTCTTCAGTTGTTGTTACAGAAACGAGTTACATCAAGGATTACATAAGTCCACTTCTGTATGTTTTGAAAGTTAGTTACCCCAGCTTTAAATGCAGTAAGATAACTATTTATACAGCAATTTGATGATGGTAAAAGTAAGTGACTTGAATCTGCCCATATCTGAAGCTCAGATAATCTCTATTTCATTTGTTGTTGTATTCTAAAATGTGTTGTTATAGGCAACATGTCCAGCAGGGGGCAGCATCACCATTCGTTTACGATGATACTATGCTAATTTACGGATGTAGACTGTGTCATCCTCCTCCCCACAGGCTGTGTCCAATTGACTATATCAGCCATTCTCAAACTCAGTAACACCGAGGCCCCCTTAAAAATCTGACGGGTCTGCGTGGCCCCCCAAAATAATAACCAAGAAGACAACATTAAGAATAGGCTCTTCTGGTTATTTTATTTTGGGGAAATAGCCTCTGCTACAAACATTGTAATACAAAAATGATTACAGTGGATTATTCAAGTCAAATAATGAACACAAATATTTTAATATTACAAACAAAACATTATAAATTTAACATTAAATAATTATATTTATTTTTTATTTTTGTTATGACCTCCCGCGGCCCCCCTGCAGTACCCTCGCGGCCCACCAGGGGGCCGCGGACCCCACTTTGGGAGACACTGGACTATATCATAGATGGACAATGCTAACCCTGCAGCTTAATGAAGCCCTGTAGGGAAGAGCTTGTGGACGAAGTTTTGCTCCAACTCGCTCTGACTCCTATTGACTTTGAAAATTGAAAAGTAAACTCCTTTAGCTCAGTAATCGTTTGTCACTATCACTATTTTTGGCTTAATCTGTGGTTTAGCGTTTTCAATATTTTCATAGTCTTCGTAAATCCTGGTATGAGCCATATATATAAATTGACCAATCAGATGCCTTCATTGACAGGGAAACTTTAGCTTGGCTTAGCAACCGCCTTAGCAACACTTCTGCCCCATGGATCTATTGTAATAACTGCCCCTATTCGAGCAAGAAGGTCCTGGATTTGATTCCACTTCCAGTTTACTTATATGTTGTTAAAGTTGAAATGTAATGTATTCTGTTTTTTGTTTTATATTTAGTTTGATTGTTTTCATTCTGTTGAAAGGAGTCCTTGGGGAAATTATAAACATATCATAATAAATAATACATACAAGAATAAATAAACAAATATAAAAACAGCACGAACATTGTTTTTATGAAATATTTTTATATATAAAATAGTAGCATACATTTCTTCCATCACCCATATGCTTTCAGACTTTTATATTCATTCACACATTTTACATTTATCCCCAAAATATGGACAAAGGGGTTTTGAGAAGAGCAGAGGAGCACTGAGAAAGAGCGGGAGGAGCTGGTGCTAGCACATTGACTGTATGTAAATGGACAATGCTAACCCGCTAGCTCAAACAAAGCTAATAGGTTAGGTTCTCAGGGGACTTTTTTCTACTGAGAAGACCAGATGAACCTTCCATATAAAGAGGCTCCAGCTAGCTTATGCTCAGTCTCTTCCACATTAAAGCTAACACTATGGTGATGTCACACTCAGTCAGTCCACTCCAAATATGTAGTCTATGTGTTAGCACTGTTATTATTATAGATCCATGGTTAGCAGAGAGAAAGGCAGCGGGAGGAGCTGGTGTTAGCATTGAGAGCTAGTGTTAGCATTGGGAGTGGGAGCAGGAGGAGAAGAGAAAGAGGAGGATGCAGCTGTCGATGAGGAGGATGCTGTAGAAGTAGCGGTGCGTGTGCAAACTGTGTCCTCCCTGGAAGCGAGTCACCAGCACCGCCAGCAGCAGGAAGAAGGTTCCGGTGTTCATGAGGAGAAACAGCCGGATGTAGACCCCTGTGTGGCTCAGGGACTCCCCAGGGTCCGCCTCCGAGTCTTTAGCCTGCGGTCGAGCTAACCCTCCCTTTTTGTCTGCGTAGTCTATAAAAAGATGAGAGTCCACATTGCTCTCAGGATTGTCTTCGTAAACTCGTCGGAACGTCCTCTGTCTGTCTCTTTTCTCACTTAACTCAATTTGTGCAAAAATGTCGGGTAGATTCTCCGACAGCTTATATCCCAGGTTCAATCTCCTCCCGCCTTTTGCACGTCCTTGTTTGTTCTTCGACTTCGCAAACATCTTTTCGACAATCCCCTCAGTTTTCTTCTTGTCTGAGAACTGCAGGAGGCGTTCCGCGGTCCTCCTGAAGGTGGCACTGTTGAGAACCCGGCTCAGGATGTGCCTTTCCATCTGCTGGAACACTGGCTTCACGTGCTGCAGATTGTCCTCCACCAGGTTGACGTACTCCTCCACCTCAGCCGGGGGGCGCTCTGCCTCAGCCACAGTCCTCTCAAACACCACCTTCTTGTGGTCGCTCAGGATCATGGCGTACAGAGGACTCGACGGCACCTCTCCGGTCACCAAGTGCACGGTGTACGTCTGTTGTTTGGTGGATACGCGAATGTCCAACCTCTGATCGTCCCCACGCACTCTCAGAGACTGTAGCTCCACCCCTGGACCCACCAGCGCGTATACCATCCTGGAGAAAGGGTATCGTAGGGCCGCAGTCACGTTCACATAGTTTGAGCCGTTGTAGCCAAAGTTCGCAGGGTACTTCCAGAATCCCACCGTCCCCTTGTTACTGAAGCCTGTATCGTCCACCCAGAACATCTTGTACTTGTCCTTATCGTGCCTGACAAACGCGCCGTGCATCGAGCCCTTTCTGATCCCACTAAAGGCCAGCTCGGTGTTGTGGAAGAAGGCGCTCATGGCTCGGCTGGGACTGTCCTGAGCCAGAGCGAAGTGATCCACCAGCAGCAGGAGCTGGGGGTGCAGCAGCAGCAGGTTCCTCTGAAAGCTGCGCACCTTCAGCTCGGGGTTGTAGGCCGCGCTGCCCTCTCCGCGGACGAACACCATGTCTTGCCTCTGCATGGCCACCTCCACCTGGCCTTGGGAGTCCGCCGCCTGCCCCGTTTTATACTTGAGCCACTTGGAGTCGCAGGATTCGGTGATCTGTCCTGCCCAGGGCTTGAAGCAGGCTCCTGAGACGTCCGAGCCAAACAACACAGCGTTGTTTAGCAGCGTGTACTTGGGACCGTACAGGGCTTCGGTGATGAACGGGACTCCATTCGGTGCAAAGGTGAAGGAGTTCTGGTCCGGGTGTTCGTGGCCGGCGTTAAAGTTCCTCCAGCCCCTCACCCACTCCTTGTACTTGCTCTTGTGGACGATGTCGTACATGGCACGGCCGCCCAGTTTCCCCGACTTGAAGGAGAGGAAGGTGTTGCTGGTCTTTGCTGGTAAAGCACTACCATAAGTCACAACGCCCCAGTCTTCGAAATAGTGCAGCTGAGAGGTGCCATAGTCAGAAGGGGGCGCTGGAGAGAGGCTGGGGTCATACCTGCAAGGAACAAGTTATTAATCAACTTGAAATTGAGCTAGTTTTAAAATCATATTTTGATTATGCCTTGTGCATGAATCATAATATTTTGGTAAAACAGCTGTACCAAGCGATCATTAGTTATTATCTATTTTGAAACCAAAGGGTACATTCAGGTTCCCATCATACTCTCTCTCTCACACTATCTTTCTCTCGGTCTCCAACTCTGTCTCTCGGTCTCCAACTCTGTCTCTCGGTCTCCAACTCTGTCTCTCGGTCTCCAACTCTTTCTCTCGGTCTCCAACTCTGTCTCTCGGTCTCCAACTCTGTCTCTCGGTCTCCAACTCTGTCTCTCGGTCTCCAACTCTGTCTCTCGGTCTCCAACTCTGTCTCTCGGTCTCCAACTCTGTCTCTCGGTCTCCAACTCTGTCTCTCGGTCTCCAACTCTGTCTCTCGGTCTCCAACTCTGTCTCTCGGTCTCCAACTCTGTCTCTCGGTCTCCAACTCTGTCTCTCTGTCTCTTTCTCTTTCTCTCACTCTCTCTCTCTCTCTCTCTCGTTCTATTTCCTTTAAAAACAACAAGAAAACTGCTTAAACTATTAGAAATGTTGCAAAAAGACTGGAAATGAACTGAAGTTATATCATTGTATTCTTCTAAATCCAGATTGAGAGCACTTGAGACGCCCTCACTGACATTAACTGTTTTAATCATGCGTAATTGTCCTGGACTCCTGGTTGAAAAAGAGGTTCTTAATCTCAAATGGACTTTGGTTGAATAAAGGTTAAATGAAAAAATAAAATAAAGTGACGTGAGAGCAAAGCCAGGACTGACCATAAGAACTCTGTGTGCAGTGTGCACCAGCGCTGGCTCCTGGCCGGCTGTCCTGGTCCCTCTGTGACTCTGTTCTGACGGATCTTCTCTGCCAACCAGTTCCCACTGCCGTTACGCAGCACAAATCTGTCCAGGAACACCAGCTGGCTCTCAGGACCATAGAACCAGTTGTAGTTGGAATCAGCAATCCCCACGGTCCTCTGGAAGCCTGCAGCACGAGCAGAATGAGGAGTTATCGTAACGTTTCAGTACTGGTTGGACTGTTATCAGCACCTGTATATCAACCACACCAAGTAAGTTGTTTACATATAGGTTTTCATGTTGTAATGTAACAACAGCCTCAGTCCTGGATCTACAGCCTCAGTCCTGGATTTACAGCCTCAGTCCTGGATCTACAGCCTCAGACCTTGAACTACAGCCTCAGTCCTGGATCTACAGCCTCAGACCTTCGACTACAGCCTCAGTCCTGGATCTACAGCCTCAGACCTTGAACTACAGCCTCCGTCCTGGATCTACAGCCTCAGTCCTAGGTCTACAGCCTCAGTCCTGGATCTACAGCCTCAGTCCTTGAACTACAGCCTCAGTCCTGGATCTACAGCCTCAGTCCTTGAACTACAGCCTCAGTCCTGGATCTACAGCCTCAGACCTTGAACTACAGCCTCAGTCCTGGATCTACAGCCTCAGACCTTGAACTACAGCCTCCGTCCTGGATCTACAGCCTCAGTCCTAGGTCTACGGCCTCAGTCCTAGATCTACAGCCTGTCTGTCCAGGCAAGCAGATTTCTCTCTCATTATGGGCCTCCCTGAGGTTTCTCACAATATTTTTCCCACTGGGTTTTGTCTAATTCAGGAGGGTTTAGGGACAGCGATGATCCAGGACATTTATTCACATTTCTGGACAGAGGTCATCCTGCTCCCTGTGGACCAAAGGCTCCTATATGTTTGTTATTACAGCATTTCCTGTGTTCAAACTTATTTAGGACTACAAACAAATACATTGAATTGTGTTGATGTGGATCACTATATTAGAGTCGTTACCTGGCAGGATGGTCCGGTAGAGGAAGGCGAAATGCTGGAGGAGCCAGGGATGGTGGAAGTGGCTGATTTCAAAATGGCGCTGCACTAGAAACATGTACTGGAACAGAGAGCGTGTGGTGTAGCTGGCGTAGGCCACGCCTTCATCCAGAGAACCATCTTTGATCTCCTGCAGGATCACCAAGGACTTCTCCATGATGGACAGAACCTGCTTCGTCCAGAGATACGCCTCCTGGAGATATCCTGCCACAAACAAATACAAGGGTTTGGAAAGTTGATAGTATTGTTGATGGAGGTTAGCGGCGGCTTCTTGGTCCAATGTTTCTTTCATACCTGACATTTGTGCAACCGTCCACAAAGTGTCTCAAATACTATGACAATATTACTGTATATAAAGTCTTTCAGTTGTGTATCTAGGAAGGTCTCGCTCTCTCTGGTCTCTCTCTAAGAAATATGGTTTTATATTTCTGTGCAGCACTTAGGAAACTGAAGTGTGGTATTTGATTAAAGCAGACTGAAACCCTGGGGTCCCTGGACCTGAGAACTAGTCCCCAGTCTGTCGTTGGGAGTTGGCAACACAACGGGCGATACAAATAACATTCATTTGAAATTGATTCGCTTTGCTGTTGTTGGCATGCTCCCAATGTTATGTCCGACTGTAGCTTTTGTCAAACCAACCCAATTGAATGACAAGGGTCTCGGGTTGACATGTCATAGGTGCGTTGCGAGCGCCAAAGTTGGTGGGTGGTGTTTGTGGAGGTGTAGGAACAGGGTGTAGGGACTTCTGTAGATGTGCGGGTTCGATGCTGATGACTGACGGACGGTTTGTGGGTCGGTAGGTTTCACGCCAGGAATAGTAGGAGAGGCCAAAGCACAACGCGTGCGCAGGGATCGTCCAAGGGCATTTAACAAATGAACACAAAACCATCGTCCACGTCAAGAAAAGGTACTGACCGAGATGAAGCGCAACTTGCTGATCCACGCGATGTAAAGTCAGATCATTTTAACTCAACCCCTATTTTGGTTATCTAGGTGCTAGCTTGTAATCCGCAGACTATGGGAACGAATCGGATGGACCAGGCTTTTGAGAGGAGTTGCTGTTTTTGTGTTGGGTTGTTTCCTCGGGAGCTTGTAATCTAAAAAAATATGTACATGAGGATGGCATGTGCTCCTGTATGGCGTCCACAAAAATACAATTGTAAACGATAGAGCTCCGAGATGGATTCGGCAATGGCTGATATATACCAAAAGATTATTAATCTTAATAAGATGTAGGAATGAGGCTGTCCCACGGCCAAGCAACATGCCCCTATCTCTGTTTTCTATCGTAGTTGTTGTTGGATCGAGCTATGATCATTTATCAAGTTGCCTTGTGAATCATTCTATGTGCCTTAGTTTACCTTAATCGATATTATAAACTCATTTCATAATTCATTCTAAACACCTCGTATTACACAATATATTTAATGGGATCGCGCGGGTCACGTCAATGTCTTCCTTCTCTCTATGTCAATATAAAAAGTTCTGTGTACCCCCGGAGCCCCGGATGGCACTTCGCTCCTTTCTCGCTTACCATCTCGAACTGTGGTACTGGGCAAGCACATGCCTTTAGTGGCGGGCGAGATATCACACAGATAGCGTGTGTAAGCGATAGAATGACATTATGTGTTGTTAACGTCCGTAAATTCAATTTTCTTGTGGACGTTTTGCGTGGATGGATGTTGTTGCAGGTTTGTTCTTATCTCAAGTGATAGTATGTGGTATCTTAGGAGGGCTTTGGCCCGCCTAGTCTGTAAGGAACAGTCTGCGTTCAGGGGTTTTATAGGATCAGGAAGTGATGAATCTACGAGAAGGCCTACGACCGCGGGTGGGGTGTCATTACTCCACAAACACCAGCACCATGTGTGGCTAATGATGGTCTGGTCTAAAGGTCACTGTGTGCTTTTAGTTAAATGGGTTTTGTGTTGCCCACTTGCTGATAGGGGACGCCCACTAATTGATAATTCGAACAGCCCAGCGGAATAATTTCACCTGATGAGATATTTGTCTGGTAGTGATGCCATCTCCAGTCCGATTGGGGAAGATTTGACCGGGGAAGGGTTTTAGTTGATTAAAAAATACCCTACGTTATTAAGTGTGCCAGAATATAAACCTCAAATGTCGCGAGGGCAGCGGAGTGGAGGGGACTTTAGATACACAAGACCGCTTTATATTAGTGTCAATTGTCATAGTAAATGAGCCACCTTAGTGGAGGTTGAATGTAGGTATGCTAAGAAATTGGAATGAACGGCCGGTACTCATCCCCAATACTCTCAACTTTCCAAAACCTTGTATTTGTATGTGGAGGAATTAGGGGGTATCTTTGGGAAGCAGGTTTGTCCAACTGGCGCCAGTCTTGGTGCTAGCGTCTCTCAATAGCTGGTACTCTGGTTGAAGGGTGGCAA